CCTAGCTAACCCCCGTCCGTTGGACGTGACCGGTCTATGACCGGCCCATCTCCGTCACATCCGATGGATAGGGCAATCGTGTCCTCACGTTGCCCTTGTCCCCGGCGGAGTGGGGGTGGGTATGACCCGTCACATCCGAGCGTCACTCGAGGAAGGGCTGTTGCATGTCGTCGTTCATTTATGAGGGAATGACAGGGCTGTCCCCCGGGTCAGGCGGGGGACGGCGCCGGGTTCCGCGCAAGAATCAGTTATTGCTTAGCTTCCTGGAGAAGGCACAGTTTGAAGCCCAAAAAGGTGGAGTGGGGTTTCCCTCCCCCTATGAAGGGTAGGTAGAGGCGGCACATGTGGTATCCCCTTAAGCTATAAAAGGAGGACCCTGCCCACTGAGAAAGTGGACGATTCCGAGAAAACCTGAATTCCAGGAGAGGGGAAGCAAGTGTGCTCTCTGGAGGGAAGAAACCCTTGTAAAACTCATCTATAATCCCAAACACAGGAGTAGGGTGTTACGCTCTATAGCGGCCCGAACCTGTATAATCCGACTGCGTACTTTCTCTCCTGGTAGCCATAGGGACGAGCAAGCGACTTTCGAGAGACGAGCCTCCGCCCCCGGCCGAACTCACAAAAGGGGGGTCTCACGACTCCCCGCTATTGAGGGTATTCCCTCGACACCGATTAATGTGAGAATTTTTAGGCCATGAGAGCGAATGTGAAGGCTCTTTTTTCTATTCCTTTAATAATATAATAGATAGCATGTTACCATGGGATTTTTAAATTGTATATTTGTAATATTTACTTCAAGATTCGTGCAAGTTGGGAGGAAAAAAAATCATAGCACGCCCACGAGTGAGGAGATTCCGTCTCGCGACCTTCTCTTAGTAAAAATAGCGTGTTACCATGAGATTTTTAAATTGTATATTTGTAGTTACATGTAAGTTACAATATTTACGCTGTTAATTTTTCTAGAAAAAAATTATCGATAAATATATACTCCCTCTGTCCCATAATATAAGGGATTTTAAGTTTTTGCTTGCACTGTTTGACCACTCGTCTTATTCAAAAAATTTTGGAATTATTTTTTTTTGACTTACTTTATTATCTAAAGTACTTTAAGCATAACTTTTTATTTTTTATATTTGCAAATTTTTTTTGAATAAGACGAGTATTGTAGGACGGAGGGAGTAGCTATTTGAAAATAAATTTAAAAAAGCATTCATCATGCACAGTACGAAGTCACAGTACAGTGAAGACCTAAAGGAGCTGAGATGCCGACGTGAGAAATGTATCGACAGTACGAAAGTTTTTCTTTTCTTCCTTCAAATTTGATTACAAAAATCTTATATACGGTTATACCGACCCAATGCAGAAACACGGTTATACCGACCCAATGCAGCGCCTTGCAGCAGAGCCGATTGGTGTACCTCATGCATGGCTCCTTGAAACGTTTCGTCTCTCTCTTCATCGTGAAATGATCCACAATTAACATTTGGGAAACGCTTTGCTAGCTAATTTACTGCATTAGCCCATCCCTATGCGTGTGTGTATCCAACAGTCGTAGCTCATCACCTGCAGCAGTATCCAAAATCCGATCGATCTAGGCGAGAGGAGTTTTTCTCAGTCTCCGCGCTGGAGCACGATGGCATACAACGAGAAGATCAAGTTCATGACCTACAACGTCTGGTCTAACGAACATGTCGCGGTGTATCGGAGGATTCAGGCCATTTCCAAGCTCATAGTGCGCCATGAGCCGCACGTCATCTTCTTGCAGGTTATTCACGCGATCTTGCACATCTATCTATCTTCTATCTATCTATCTATCTATCTATTATCTATTATTATATACTAAAAGTCCATTAAACTTCCTATAAACGCTCTCAAACCACCACGTGGCACTTCTACAAACGCTCATAGGCCGCCACATGGCAATGTCTAATCTCACCGTTGATTTTCACTTAAATCGGTGGACCCGATAATTTAGACCATTAGATTAGATTAGATGTATTTGATTTAAAAAGAAACTAATACCTTACTATTCACCGGAAAAAGAAAATAAATTAAACTGATTTTAGTCCTCCCCCGTACCCCGCGCGGACATATGCATCCATCCCTGTATATACGTATGTACAGGTAACGTACTAACGTACATAAGTAAGAATAGAAAACAATGAATCTTACCTTAGATTAGATGTATTTTATTTAAAAAGAAACTCATACCTTACTTCACCGGAAAAAGAAAAAAAAACACGAGTACTCCATATGTACGTACATACGTAAGAAAAAAAAACAATGAATATATTACCTATTGTTTATTTAAAGAAAAAAACTATGCACGGACTTACTGTAAAAAAAAACAAAGAAAAAACATACGTGTGTAGTACCATAAAAAATCGATTATCTTTAAAATAGAGTTTTCTAATATTTAAAGATAAAATCTATTACTATATAAATTTAAGCAAATATCACCGCCGATTTTTAATTAAATTGGTGAACCAAATAGTTTAAACCATTAGATATATTTTATTTTAAAAACTAATAACTTATTATTACTCTGTGTACGTATACGGGAGAACTATATAACAATTAGGCTAGAAAAAGAAAAAAAACATAAGTAATCCCTACGTACATACGACTTGGAAAAATAAATAAAATTAACCGCTATCCATCGAAAGTTTGGAACAAAGAAAAATTTACTCACGGTGGTCTTTTGAAATAGTATTTTCAAAATCCTTTACTATAAAAACAAAAAAACAAAAAAAAAGCGTATCATTCGAAAAAGATCGATGGTCTTTTGAAATAGTATTATCTACTATTTAAAGATAAATATATTATTCTACAAATTTACGTAAATATACGTAGTTAAACTAAATCTATATTATAAATATGAAATATCCCATCAATAATCTTTGTTCGTTCGATCTTAACATACAAGGCTGATATATATAATAATTAATGTTTCGATAATTTCTTATTTCACATCATATTTTAGGGTGTCAAATATCACTTGATAAATATACAATACTAATTTAAATTTGCATTTGTGAAAATGAAAATAACACAATTTAGTTGTTTCATTTTACACCGTTAGATTAATTGTTTCTCCTATATACAGATATATGAGAAATATATAACTGTTGACCGGAAAAAGTACTCCGTACTTACATATGGTTGAAAAAAATAATAATACTTACATATTGTTTGCCGGAATAACATAAAGCCGTATTTATGATAAAGCCCAAAAAATGGGCAGTCCTTAAAAAATATTTAAAGATAAAAATATAATAATCTTCAAATTTACACAAATGTAAATATAAAATATCCAATCAATGCTTTTAAGCATTCTATCTGTTAAATTATTTTAAAATTATATATCCAATTTGTGATCCGGTTGTATTCCTTTAAATAAATAAACTACTAATATCTATAGCCATAAATACATCACAAATATGGAGCCGGCATGTAATAATTAATGTTATGATAATAATTTCACATCATATTTTAGGTGTGAATAACACTTGACAAATATACAACACTAATTTAAATGTACATATGTATTCTCCAAATTACTAAAGGTGTCTCATGTGATTAGAAACAATAGATGTGGAAAACAAACCGGACACCGAACATGCACTACAGTACATATATTTGTCAAAATATGATATGGTACTTTGGAGATTATCGTGGTAATATTTAGAAAATCACTGTCTTGGTTACGTATAAATTCTTCTATTGTTTTGGGATAAAATTTACCTCCTTCGATTTATGTGACAGGGGGAATATAACTAATATAAGTCTATCTTTGATCAGATGAAGAAGTATCGTTAGTTATATTTTTAATAGAAAATATATTTCATTAATATATAATAAAATTAAAATGTTACCTAAAGTCATCTATAGCATACAAAATAAAAAATGTTATATAAAGTTTGGAAACTCCAAAAATTTAAAAAAAAATCACACACAATATAAATAGATATGAACTAACTCTATTATTGGGACATATTTTTTCTAATAAATTTGAGGATATACAGGTTCAAGTAATACGCCCAACTGTTATTAACGAACATACGTTTAAAATAGAGTAAAACAATATTTCAAAAATATCATCCACACATAAACATTCATAATAATAAAATTTCTAACAAGATTAAACAACATGCTCGCGCGTATACGCGGGCTACCTTCCTAGTTGGTTTAATTTTGTTCTGTTTCAATGAGGCTTTATTTGCGAGGTGCAAGTTTTTGCTGGACATATATCGCGATCATCTGGGTGCACATCTTTAACACAGTTAGTCGTGATGATGCAGGAGGTCACGGAGTACATCTCCAGCATCTTTGAAGAGGATCACTGGTGGATGCAGTACAAGAAGCTGTGGTCATCTACCACACAAGAAAGTCATTTCTGCCTTCTGGTACAAAGCATTTCAGAAAGCTCATCTACGAATCCGCTAGATGTGTGTGCTGATTGTAAATTTCTGTTTCAAAACATTTTGAAAAAAAACATGTAAAATTGCTTATATTTTTGAACCGAGGTATGGTAACGTCTAACTTGTATATACATTCAACTGTCGTGCTAATTTTGGTTGCAGCTTAGCAAGTTAGACGCAGATGATGCGCACATCCGGCGGTGGTCGGAGTCGGTGTCGCCACCGCGGATTGCACCACCTGGGTTGCTCTCACAAATGGTGTACAAGCCCTTCCCCCCGGGGCATCCACACAGCGCCCACCGCGTGTGCGCGGCGACGTGCCGTCTCGTGCCGCCGACGCCGATGGACGTCGGCGCCGCGGAGCGCCGCCCTCTTCCTGGAGCATTTCGAGTTCGACGCCGTCCACGGGCTGTTACGCTGCCTGTAGCAGATATCGACAAAGGCAATCCGCTGAGAAGCTATCGGCGTCCTACGCGGGCTAAGAAACCTAATGTCCGTGTGAGTGGGCCAGAATGGGTCACAGTCCAATGATGTTCTGGTATGGTGTATAAATACCAGAGGGCTAAGAGAGAAGAGGGTGTCGAAAGTGTAAACACAAAACACAAAACTATTCCCCAAATCAAACCTTCTTCTCTATTTTGACATTTCCTCCTCTGTTCCTCCCGTTCTTACTCTGTTCTTCCACTTCCTCTAGAATTCGCTGGATAGATCGTAACAAATTGGTATCAGAGCGCTCGAATCCTGGAGTACCTCAACAAGCCACGCTACCATTCGCGAGCGCAGCTCAAGGCTCAGGAGATGGAGCAGCAACTCGCTGATCTCGCGGCGGCCATGGCGGCGATCCAGAAGCAAAACACGGCGATTCAAACTTCGGTTGGGTCGCTGGAAGAAATCAAGCCGATGGTGGTGGAGTTGGCTGGATGGAAGCCAACAGTGGAGCGGACGGTGGCGGAATTACGGGACAAGATGGCGGAGTTGCGCACGCAAGTGGAGCAAATTTCTCGTTCTCCGGCCAGGGTGACCAAGCTTGCGGATCTGCCTCCGTTGCTGCCTACACCACCAGGACCGAAGCTGAACGAGATCAAGGACGAGGAACCCAAGCCCTCTCTAGAACTCAAGCTTCCTCAAGTGGATGAACATGCTAGGCTATTTAGCCATCGCGCTGCAACTTCAAACCGGGGGAAAACCTTGGGAAATGAAAATTTCCCATCGTCTCTCCCGGGCAAGGGTACGTTCTATTCGAGTCCTGGAAATAATTCTCGATTTGAGTTTGGAGAATCGTCGGGGAGGTTTGGGTCATCGCATCATGTTCATCACCATGGGGGATCTGTGCGGGTAGATTGCCCTTCGTTTGACGGCGATAATCCTAGGGCATGGAAGCTTAAGTGCGAAACCTATTTTCGAGTCAGTGGAGTCTATTTTGATCATTGGGTGGGAGTAGCAGCTTTGCAGTTTATGGGGGCAGCGCTTACTTGGCTACAATCCACTGATGCTCATATTGAGTGTGTGTGTTGGGAGGATTTCGCGGAAGTAGTGTGTAAGAAGTTTGGGAGAGAGGAGTTTCAGGGATTAAATAGGCAGTTTAATCAGTTAAGGCAAACCGGAACTGTGACTAGCTATGCAGAGAGGTTTAGTGAGTTGATTCATCAATTGCAAGCTCATCATTCATCATGGAACCCAGTTTTCTTTGTTACTCAGTTCATGGATGGCCTACGAGCAGACATTAGAGCTGCTGTAGTGCTCCATCGCCCACAAGACCTCGATACTGCTGTCGATTTGGCATGTTTGCAGGAGGAAGTATTGGAGGTGCTGCGCAAGGAAATGCGACGCAGTGATTTTGCTGGGGGAGTTCGTACGGTGGCAAGACCAAATTCTCTGACATCAGTTTCTACTGTTCGTCAGAACACAAGTCTGGGCAACAAACCTGATGAATGGCGCATTACTGAAGAATCCAGGGCATCAATGGCTGAGGATAAGCTGTCAGCCTTGCGTGCTTACTGCCGAGCCAAAGGACTCTGTTATACTTGTGGGGAGAGATATAATCGAGACCACAAGTGTGGTCCTACTGTGCAGCTCCATGTTGTTGAAGAATTATTGGAAATGTTATCTGCTCCTTCGGTGGATAATTCTGGAGATGAGCAGTCAAGTGTGCAAGACCCAACAGAAGGAATTTCTGAAGGAGAAATCTGTCAGATCTCTAAGGAAGCAATGATGGGTATTGAGGCTTCAGGAACTCTACGGCTGCAGGGTTTCATTCAGAAACATGAGGTTCTGATGCTGGTTGATTCAGGGAGCTCGCGCATAGCTTTATATCTGAAGGTTTGGCTAATAAATTGCAAGGGGGCCGGGCTGCTATTCCTGCTGTCAAGGTGTGCGTGGCCGATGGCGGAGTTCTGCACTGTTCTCAAGAAATTGCTGATTGTGAATGGTGGGTGCAAGGATACACTTTTCGTTCAGATCTCAAGATTTTGCCTCTGGGTAGTTATGACGTTATACTGGGTATGGATTGGCTTGTGAAACATAGTCCAATGCAGGTGGATTGGCGAGCCAAAACTCTGTTATTTCAGCAAGAGCAGCAGTCTGTTTGTCTTAAGGGGGTACAACTTAACACTGTTCATTGTCCGGCAATTTCTGCATCTCAGGTGCGAGGGCTGGTCAGTCGTAATGCGGTGGTTCAGACTGTGGAACTGTGTTTGTTGGATACTATTGCACCTAGTTCAGATATACCAGCTGTTATTGACTCATTGCTACAAGAATTTGCTTCTGTTTTTGAGGAACCTCAAGGTCTGCCACCACAGCGTGATTTTGATCATTCTATACCACTGTTGCCTGGTGCAAAACCTGTCAATCTTCGTCCTTATCGTTATAATCCAGCACAAAAGGATGAGATTGAGCGTCAAGTGACTGAAATGTTGCGTCAGGGTGTTATCCAACCCAGCTCCAGCCCGTTCTCATCTCCAGTATTGTTGGTCCTCAAGAAGGACTTGACATGGAGGTTCTGTATCGACTATCGCCACCTTAATGCTATAACAGTCAAGAATCGATATCCTCTTCCAGTGATTGATGAGTTACTTGATGATCTGGCAGGAGCAACTATATTCACTAGTTTGGATTTAAGGGCGGGTTATCATAAAATCCGTATGCGACCAGAAGATGAACATAAAACTGCGTTCAAAACGCATCATGGACATTACGAGTTTCGGGTTATGTCTTATGGATTAACTGGTGCACCCGCTACTTTCCAAGGTGTCATGAATACAGTGTTATCCCCTTTGCTCCGGAAGGGAGTGCTTGTTTTCATAGATGACATTCTGATTTACAGTGCAACCTTGACAGAACATGTGCAATTATTACGTCAGGTTTTCCAATTGTTGACTGAACATCAACTTAAGGTGAAGCGCTCTAAGTGTTCATTTGCTCAATCAAGTTTGATTTACTTGGGCCATGTTATTAGCCATGCTGGTGTCAGTACTGATCCAAAAAATATTCTTGCTGTGCAACGATGGCCAGTTCCAACTAATGTAAAGGAGGTACGGGGATTTCTTGGCCTGGCAGGTTATTATCGCAAATTTGTTCGGCACTTTGGTGTAATCAGTCGTCCGTTGACAGATCTGCTTAAGAAGAATGTTGTTTTTGTCTGGACTATATCTCATCAGCAAGCATTTGAAGCTTTGAAATCAGCCTTAACTTCTGCACCAGTGCTGGCGATTCCTGATTTCAGTAAGCCTTTTGAGATTGAAACTGACGCGTCTGACAAAGGTGTTGGGGCAGTCTTGATGCAGGCAGGCCATCCATTGGCGTTCTTGAGTAAGGCCTTGGGACCTCGCAATCGCGGTTTATCAATATATGAAAAGGAGTGTCTAGCTATTCTTTTGGCAGTGGATCGCTGGCGCTCTTATCTTCAGTTTGGGGAGTTTGTCATCCGTACTGATCAGCGTAGTCTGATTCATCTCGGTGATCAAAAGTTGGCTACGCCTTGGCAGCAGAAGGCAATGACGAAATTATTGGGACTGAATTATCGGTTAGTCTACAAGCGTGGGTTAGATAATAGAGCTGCAGATGCTTTGTCTCGTTGCTCAACTGATGATCACATTCAAGCATGTGCTTTGTCAGTATGTATACCTGACTGGTTAACTGAAGTCCAAGAAGGATATCTGTCTGATCCCTACTCTGCTGATTTGTTATCTAAGGTGACTTTACAAGCTTCTGCTGTACCTAATTTTTCCTTGCGGGATGGCATTTTGCATTATAAGAACAAAATTTGGATTGGCAACAATACTACACTGCAACATCGCATTTTATCAGCCTTGCATTCTGGAGCTATTGGTGGTCATTCTGGGGTGCAGGTGACTTATAGCAGAATAAAGAAACTCTTTGCTTGGCAAGGATTGAAGAAGTCTGTGCTGGAATTTATTGATCAATGTTCAGTCTGTAAGCAGGCCAAAGCTGAAAGAGTTCATTAGCCGGGGTTGTTGCAGCCTCTTCCGGTTCCCAATCATGCTTGGCAAACTGTTTCCCTTGATTTCATAGGACTACCAAAGTCGACGGGGTTTGATTGTGTTTTAGTGGTGGTTGACAAGTTTTCTCGCTATGCTCATTTTGTGGCATTGTCCCACCCTTTCATAGCTTTAGATGTGGCCCTGGCTTATCTCAACAACATATACAAACTGCATGGTATGCCATAGTCAATTATCTCGGATCGTGATCGCATTTTCACCAGTGCCCTTTGGTCTGAGTTATTTCGACTGACAGATACTCAACTCAAGATGAGTTCTGCATACCATCCTCAAACTGATGGCCAAACCGAGCGTGTCAATCAGTGTCTTGAAACTTTTCTTCGCTGCTTTGTCCATGCCTGTCCTACTAAGTGGTACCGATGGTTGGCTCTAGCGGAGTTTTGGTATAATACAGCTTATCACTCTGCTCTTGGCACATCTCCTTTTGAAGTGCTCTATGGTCACACTCCTCGTCACTTTGGTGTATTGGACATTTCTGCTGCTGCTGTTCCTGATCTTGCTGAGTGGTTGAAAGAACGAGCAATGGTTTCAGGTTTGCTGCTTCAACACTTATTGCGTGCTCAGCAGCGTATGAAGGTTCAGGCAGATAAGAAACGTTCTGAGCGAGAGTTTGCGGTGGGAGATTGGGTTTTTCTCAAAGCTCAACCATATGCGCAGACTTCTTTGGCAGTTCGTTCTAATCACAAGTTAGCTTTTCGCTACTTTGGACCGTTTCAAGTAACTGCTCGAGTGGGTGCAGTGGCTTACCGATTGCAATTACCCCCAGGTTGTTCTATTCACCCTGTTATCCATGTATCTCAGCTTCGTCAGGCGCCTCCACCGGATTCTGCGACGGTTGTCAAGTTACCTGCTGCACTGGCTCCGGATTCTTCAGTTCCGATGCAGATATTGGTGCGTCGTCTGTACAAGCTTGGAGCTGCCGTGCGTCCTCAATTCAAGGTGCGTTGGTTTGGCCATGGTGTGGATGAGGCGACTTGGGAGGATGCTGAATCTCTTCGGGTCCGTTTTCCTGCTGCACCGGCTTGGGGACAAGCCGAGTCTGAAGGGGGGGAGAATGTTACGCTGCCTGTAGCAGATATCGACAAAGGCAATCCGCTGAGAAGCTATCGGCGTCCTACGCGGGCTAAGAAACCTAATGTCCGTGTGAGTGGGCCAGAATGGGTCACAGTCCAATGATGTTCTGGTATGGTGTATAAATACCAGAGGGCTAAGAGAGAAGAGGGTGTCGAAAGTGTAAACACAAAACACAAAACTATTCCCCAAATCAAACCTTCTTCTCTATTTTGACATTTCCTCCTCTGTTCCTCCCGTTCTTACTCTGTTCTTCCACTTCCTCTAGAATTCGCTGGATAGATCGTAACACGGGCACGGGGACGTGGTGCTCGGAGGTGATTTCAGCTGGGACGAAGACCTCGACAGGCCGCTCCGGCTGAGGCCCGGGTGGGTGGACGTACGACGTGGCGGCGAACCCGATGCTGAAGGGGTGGCTCAAGCCGGAGATCAGGAAGAGGCCGGACAGGTTCTTGTGCAGGCTGAGGGACTTCAAGCTGGACAGCGTCGAGATGGTCGGCGTGGAGCCGATCCCCGGCGTGACGCACTGCGACGACAAGGGGGGCATGCTGCCGGTGCTCCCCAGCCACCACTTCGGTTTGCTGCTCACCATCGCCCCCCAAATCCACAAGTGATCGATCAGCTTAAATCTTCACCATGGCTGCTAAAATTCTAGAACTGGAGATCTTAAGAGTTGATGTCGCTGCCGGCTGCTCTAATGTACCTAAAGTTTAGGTATCTCGAGATTCTTGGAATTAGCTTTGTCATGTGTGTGTGTGTCTCCATGTTGATCAATTGTGTCGATTATCTTTACTTGCTTTGTCAAATCTGTTCTTCGATCCGGTGTTGAAGGGTAACTCTTGGTGAAGAACTGAAGATGATAAGGATCTGCCCTGATGGCATGATCAATGCCTTCCAGTTAATTTCTTGCGTCCATATTTCTCGGCGATATCTCAGACACAATAACTTGCATATTAATTCAGCGAGAATTTTTCTTTTTTTTTTTAGGGGATAACGGCAGGAGCTCTGCCTATTCATTAAGAGAAGGGTAGAAAGATTTGATGCACCTCCAAGAGCAGAAAATTACAGAATTTTGAGGAAGTGCGCCGCCACAAGCATCAGGCATCTTCGTGCTATCATCTATCCATTTTGAGCATCAACGAAAGCCTTGCACATGTTTATCACGAAAGCAACAACCTGAGAGACCGTGCCATAAGCATTGTTGAAAATTCTCGCATTTTTTTTGGAGCCAAATATCCCAAGCGATGTAGGTGATGAGGCCATCAAGATTTCTTCGCTGATCTTTGACCAATTCCTTTCGGCAAGCTCCCCACCATCCAAAGAAATCACCATTATACAGATTTGTTGCAGGCATGGTAAGGCCTAACTCTAAACCAGATTTTTGCCCAATCATGTTTCGCAAAGGGGCAGTCCCTAAGAGCAGGTACAATAGCAAGCTATTAGCCAGCTATAAACATATTTTAATGAAATAAACGATGAGAGAGAAGAGCAGCAGGCTACAGATCTGTAGCCAACTGCAGCACGGACTCTAAGACACAATGTGTGTATGTCAGGTGGGATTATATATTAATAGTATAGCAAACAACTATTATATGAATTAGCTATTAGATTGGTTATAGATGAATTGAAGTTAGTAGTGGACTAAACTATTAAACTTGCTCTAATGAGCGAATGCTTGTGCTCGAGCTCGAGGTTTTATGCACATGTGGCCAGTGTGTGTGATTGTCACCTGCACTGATTCTCTGCGTGCGCAACCTCTTTTTTTTTTTTCCTTTTTCGAAGTAGCAGGCACTGATCTGCCAGTTAAATCTCTCTAAGTGAAAGTTTAAACCATCCGGATGTGCCACGTTATCTGGAAAATATAATCTGTTGGATTGAAAAAAAAACAGAAGAGGCCAAATTAATATTAACCGTCCAATAAAATTTAGGGTTAAATGGATCCAGGCCTGTGTAAATATACCAATTCAAAAAAATACCACTACTATTCAATATATCGGCTATGTGCCACTCGTATTATTCCCAAATTTGTTCCATGCCACTATGTACTCCCGCACGTGCTTTTCAACCGTTTTGGCATACCGTATTTTTGTATGGATTGAATTACCCTCGCATCGGGTGTCAGATTTGACTCCGACGCTGCCTTCAACTCCGACGTCGGCACCACGAGGGAGGCCACCTCGCCCAGGGCCACCGGCAACCCCCATAGGACCGTCGCACCTCCCTCCGTGGTTGCCCCCACCTCAGGTGCCAGATCCGACTTTGGCGCGGCCTCCAACTCCTATGCTGGCGCGCGCGGCAGAGCTACGAGGGAGGCCACCACACCCGTCGCGTCTGATGCCTAAGTGGACTAGGCCACCGGTGCCAACTCCGATGACGGCAACAACTTGCCTCTTCCCCCCCTCCCCCACGCCCCCTTTCATTCCGAGGTCGCCACCATCAAGCCTATCGGCTCCCGCCCCATGGCCGTGACATCCTGGCCCAATTAGGATGAGACCTGTGTAGCCCATGTAAGCTGTGTGCGTATGTTTAGTGCCATATTATTAGTACCTTGCTAGTTTAGCAAGGTGGAACCAACTTATAAGGGCTTGTCCCTCCAACCATGCCATTCCCAAGTTGATTATTTTACATGAAGCGAGGACGAAAGTGTAAGTGGGCCTGCCCGTCTGTTGGGCTAGCCACGCGGTTCTGGAGGGAGGGCTATTAAAAATGTTATCAGAGCCGACTCTCGCGGTTGCGCGTACGGATCAGTGTGCGGGCATATGTCATATGGCACCGGCACTGGACGTACGGACGTGCGCCAAGAGGGGGTGTGTTCCTGGACATTTACCTATATATGCCTGTGTGGCTATATGGGTGAGTTGGACCGACAGGGACGTTGGGCCCTTTGAAGGGGGTGCATGTGACATCCTAGCCCAATTAGGGTAAGGCTTATGTGGCCCATGTGAACTGTGTGCGCATGTTTAGTACCACCTTGCTAGTTTAGCAAGGGTGGAACTAACTTATAATTGCTTGTCCCTCCAACCCCTTTGAGGGGGGGTGTATGTGACATCGTGGCCCAATTAGGATGAGGCTTGTGTGGCCCATGTGAACCGTGTGCGCATGTTTAGTACCACCTGGCCGATGATAATAAAACAATAATATCAGTTTAATCATACAGCTGACAAGATATATAAACATCAGAACAAATAGACAAGATATATCAATCAGCTGCATATCTAATATAAATGATGATATAAAAACAATCGGCCGATGATAATAAAAACAACAATATAATCCAATAGAAACCAATCGGCTAACAATGATATGATATAATAAAGTGATCCGATGGTTAAAGCATACATCGGTTAGAGGTCCGATGTCATTAAATTCAAACGATTAGATAAACAGTGAAATCTTTGTTGTAATCGGCTAAAACCAACTTGTATGTTTTCCTTGTAAGCCGAATGCAACGCCCATATAACTCATCGGCTGAAACCCCGATGAAATTCTTATTATAATCAAAGACATGTTAGCCTTTATGATTCTAAGCACGACTAGGGATGATGCATCGCAAAGTATGCAAACAAGCATAAAATCTAAACAATCAAGCCTTTAACTAATTTTCAGAGTTGTGGATATCTAATTTAATCTAATCTAGCAATATAATTTAGCCGATACCAGCATAACCCCTAAAACGAATCTTAGCCGATATGATCAAATTAAGATGCTAAACTAGATTAACTAAGATATATGATAAATAGGTAGGCAAAAATATCAACCGAACTAGAGCGATCCAAGAGGTCAAAGCGATGCAGGTTTGAACAACACCAATGTAGCCGAGGGCCGACGGAACATAGGACTTACCCCTTCGTCGGAGATCGAAAACCGATGCAGCCCCGCATCAGGTGCCAAGTTCCACTATGATAAGGAAAAACCTCGAAAAAGAGGGTGGCGATGCGCCGAGAGTAGGGGTATTGATCTGTGATATAGTTTACAATGACCCTGGTGTTGATGAAAAAACACACACTGGCCTGAGAGATTTGCTTTACTCTATTGTAGGTCCAAAGATTTGCTTTTGGGTTCTAAGCATGCTACTTGGTTTGATCCTGCAACCAACAAGAGACAAAGAGAAAACAAAGTTAAATCTATAAACGATAGCCGATTGGCTGGACTGCCGATGACGTATCGTTTAACACTGAGCCGATGTAACATGGATCAGATCGGCAGTGAAGTATATAACAAATAAAGAATTAGATCTACTTGATAGGCTGTAGATATCAATGATATGTAATCTGTACGTCGAAATATGTTTAAACTAAGTGATTGGGATAGATCAGACAGCATGCCGATACAGTATAAATCACCTATGTCTAAAAGTACTTCAAAGTAAAGATTATATATATTCATATCATAGCCGATGAAGCAAATCTAACATTTATCGGCTAATACTCCGATACCACTTTATACCGAACAGGAATCAATCTAATATCAGGCTAACCTAACAGACCGATAACAAGCTTAATATATTTCAACCAAGTGGGTGCTCAATATAAAGGGTAGATTTAGTATATCAAGTAAACGTATAAGGAACAAGATAACTAAACCAGGTAAGATTGGCTGAAACCCCGATGCTATCTCTATTAGCAATCATCAAACATGCTAGATATTATGGTTCTAAATATTACTTAATAGATCAAACTTAAGTGATGCAGCATTAAACATAGAGAGAAACATAAAATCTAAACAAGCCGATGACAACCTTTTCAAGATGGTATATATACTATATAATCTAATTCGATGTCAGTATCTAATCCTATCAGCTGTTTTCGAGGATATAGGCTAGCTGATAAAGTTAAGCAGCAAGATCGATCTAGATTATATAGCATGTATGATAACTCGACGATTTACATAAACAAGATTAAAGTGTCATGAAGATGTAAGCACTAATCCCGAGAACGCAAGCCGCCATAACAAGCTTTACCTTTTCATCGGAGATCGAAACCGATGCAGCCCAACTCGAAAGCAAGAACTCGTCGAAACAATTAAAGAAAAAGGTAGTGATGCGCCGAAAGTGTTATTGAATTGATGTTATCTGTTTAGACGGTCTCGGGTCATATTTATACCAAAAATACATGATATGTCCTTGCCGGACACGACTCTATCTCTGTTACAACTCAAAATACGAACAAGTCACTTAGACGGACTCTTACCGAAAATATCTCTAAGAAAGCTACCAGAATATTTTAATTAATAGATACAATTTCCTTCTTTGGACTCAATCCATACGTGGCAATACTTGTGCAGCACCTCAACTGATCCCAGCAATGACTCTAGAACCATCTTACTGAAATCGGCTACATCGGCTTCTCCTTGTCCGATTCAGTATCAGCCGATGCAGACGGTAGCCGATGCGCACTCTGGTTCCGAGAAACGAACTCTTTCTAAATCCGCTTCGACTTTTACTCCAAATCCGATCTATAATTTACCAAATTTGGTCGTTAACACCTGGGTATACATATTTATACCCCTTGGTAGATACTAGCCCTTCTTGTACAAGAAATAAACTTTCCTAAAGATAAAAGGAAAACATAAAGTCCTTATTGGACACTAAACACACTTACCTAAAGATGAAAGAAAACTAATAGACTCTGCCTAATTAATAGATAAACTGTCATGCCGCATCCTCTTTGAACTCAGTTTTTTCTAGATAAACTTTCTTTAATTGATCAACATTCTTAACCGAATATAGCAATAATCCAACTATTGACGACTTGATAATTCCTATCGGTCGATTTGAGGACTTTGAAGCTGATACTGATTCTAGCAGGTGATGAATTCGGAGCTTACCAAATTTCAATGTTAACACTAACCCGACGAGCTCATCATCCTGCGCGGCCTCATCATGCTGGTGTTGGAGTCGGAGGTGGCGCCGGAGTCAAATCCGGCACCCGAGACAGGGGCAATTCGGTCCGTACAAAAATACGGTAAGCTGAAACCGTGAAAAAGAAAAAGCACGTACATGGGTACATAGTGGCATGGAACAAATTTAGGAACAACACAAGTGGCACGCAGCCGATATGCTGAATAGTGGTGGCATTTTTCTGAACTGGTATATTTGCAGTGACATGGATCAAGGGTTACATGCTCGAAGAATCTGGATAGAAGTCTGTCTAGATTCGTAGTATTAGTAAATATCCCAGCTAATTTTAGATTTTTATATTTTAGGACATCCAGGAAGTACACACTTTGCATCTGTAGATAAACGGTCCTGGTTGCATGCTTGCCAAATTGCCACCAGGTTGGCGTTCGTCTGGCAAGCATGACCCGTAATCATTTTGGGCACACCGTCCTAGCTGAAAAATTGAAGTCATGGGCTTAATTTTCACTTCTGTTTAGCTCGGTTTCACTATTGTGGATACGTATTTAGCCGCGAACTCATTTTTCAACTAAGATCCATAGTTTATTTCAATTTTTATTAGCATAATTTTTAAATTGTTAAATATTTGTATAATATGTAGAAATTGTTTGGAAATAGAAGATAAATCCAATTTTCGAGTTCAAAATAATTAAAATTTAATTAATTATACGTTATTTTTTTATTTTACATGCTCGTATTTGATCTTGATCTTTAGGTCCTCATCGGTAAGTTATATTATTAGGTTAATCAGCCAAATAAACCTTTTTCAATTATTAGGCAAAGCCGCAAAACCATTCCATCTGTTGGAATGTGTATGGTGATTGTAGCTCCTATAGTTTGTGGTATTAGGATTATTATCTTCTATGTACACCACTGATAATCCAACTCTCTTGCGGGCCGCACTGTGTTTGGCTGGAGGTCTAAGCTCAAGCCTCATCCAAACATGCCATATGATGGGACCTTGAAGATGTGTTCGGTGGTGGGTGTTGGAACCCATCACCCAAATACGGAATACAAAATGGTACATTAACGCGTAATTAATTAAGTATTAGCTATTTTTTTAAAAAATGATCAATATGATTTTTTAAGCAAATTTCGTATATAAACTTTTTTTAAAAAAAACACACCGTTTAGTAGCTTGAAAAGCGTGCGCGCGGAAAACGAGATGGGAAGTTGGGAACTCCTGGTATCGAACATGTCGACGGGTGATACCCGTAAACCGGATATAGAGGGTATTGGGGTACGTTGGTACAAGGATTTACGTAATACGACATCAAGCGGACAGAAAACGAAGATTATACTGGTTCAGGCCCCTTGATAGGTAATAGCCCTAATCCAGTTGATATGAGATTATATGATGGAAATCACAGGTTACAAAAGGAACGATGGAACTCGATGAAACCGGCGAGATCGTAATCGAGTTGGTCCGACTAGATCCTCCGGCGACTTGGCTCCTGCAGGTTCCGACTTCGTAGGCTCTGGTGGTTGTGTTGGCTATGAAATTCGATCCTTAGGTCCTCCCAGGGGTCCCTTTTATATCGCAGGTCAGGCGGTTTCCAAGTAGGACTCGGAGACATCGGACCCTGCACCATACATTGACGACCCAGTCCTGTCCGAGTGGGACTCTTTCCATCTACAAACTCCGTGAAGGATTTCCTTAATGTATACAGAGAACGTCCATATACGCGCAGGCATGCCATATCGATACGTGACGTATATCGAAGGGTAAAGGGTATGCCTTCCCGTAACCCTGACAGAACACAACCTTAAATGGGTATAGTACTCTGTATACTACTTTCTCTATCCCAAAATATAGATATTTTTTTAGGTTGGCACGATTATTAATAAAGTAAGTAATAATGATCAGAGGAAGTGTGTGATTGGTTGAAAAGAGAGTATGTCAAGAAGAATAGTTGTGATTGGTTGAGAGGAAAATGTAGGTGAAAAAATAGCTTTATTTTGAGACAAGACAATGTGCTAGAAATGAACGAATGTAGTATGTAATGTAAAGAAATGATATGTCCTGAAAAAAAAAGAAAAGGATGTGTTTTATATTAAAACAATGAGAGTGACACTTGATCGTTCGGAAACCGCATGCGGGCGATCGACTTCTGTTGTGGGGAGCGGACTACATTTGTCCACGTTTGCGAAAGATTGTGCCCAATATTATTGCCTTATGGGCTGTGACTCGAGCGGGTGTACTCACTCCCTCTGTCCTATTTTAAATAGTTTTCGCACCCAATATTGATCGTCCGTCTTATTTAAAAATTTTGTAAAAAAACAATTAAAAATATAAGTCACGCATAAAGTCCTATTTATGTATTACCATCTCATAACAATAAAAATACTAATTAAAAATTTTTTTCAAATAAGACGAACAACTAAAGTTAGGCGCGGAAACTCATAGTTTTACTTAAAATAGGACAGAGGGAGTATAAAAACCAATCTAATACTAAATATGATATATTTAATACGAATCTAAATATATATTTGTTCAAATTTATTGTATTAGAATGTGTCATATCTAATTCTAAACTAGTTTTATCTAATTCTAAATTCGTTTTTTTATGGGTGCGAGGGAGCAACTCCTAAACCGAAGGCAAAGCTTATTGGTCGCCGTCGTTCATAATGGCCCGATTTCACGTGAGTTCCACTTGAAAAGCAGCTGTGCGCTGCTCCGTTTCCCACCGCATATCCAACCAAACACATTGATTTGTGGCGACAAATCTCGTACTACACCTGCTGGTAACAAATATTGGTACACTCCTGACTATGATACCTCCTTGTGGTCCTTGAGGAGCATATATAGGCGGTACAGGCAACATTATCATCCCTAAGATCCAATACAGTAGGCCGTTCTAAAATACTCCATCCGATTTCATAAATGTAAAACTTTCTAGTATTGTCTACGTATACGTATATATAGATGTTAATGAATCCAAACATATATATATATATATATATATATATATATATATATATATATATATATATATATATATATATATATATATATATATATATATATATATATATATATATACACACACACACACACACACACATTAATATCTAAATGAATGTGGATAATGTTAGAAAGTCTTACATTGTGAAACGGAGGAAGTACGTACTTTTGATCTTGAATTTTAACATGTAGATAAACAAATAACCAAATGTTTGTTATATATGTGGAAAATGTAATTACTATATATATTTTTCATAAAAAAATTTTATAGATACATTTTTAGTATTTTTTGGAAGATAATTCTAATAGTTTCTTCTATAAATATAAGACTAGAACCCGTAATCAAACATGTAGTATGTCAGTTGAAGAATTTTGCAAGCATAAAATTGAAAGAAAGAAAGGTACGTTTTTTTTTTAGTACAACTGCTACTCCCACCGTCCCATTTTAAATACAGTTGTGGGTTTTCGTATTTAATGTTTGACTGTCTATTTTATTTGAAAAATTTATAAATTATTTTTAAAAATAAGTCATCCATAAAGTATTATTCATGTTTTATCATCTAATAACAATAAAAATACTAATTATAAAAAAATTAAAAAGATTGGCGGTCAAATGTTGAACACAAAAACACACAACTACACTTAGGCCTGTTTTTCCAAAAGATATCACATCGAATCTTTAGACACATGTATGAAGCATTAAATATAGATTAAAAAAACTAATTGCACAGTTATGGGGGAAATCGCGAGATGAATCTTTTGAGGCTAATTAGTCCATGATTAGTCATAAGTGTTACAGTAACCGACATATGCTAATGACAAATTAATTAGGCTCAAAAGATTCGTCTCGCGGTTTTTAAGCAAGTTATGAAATTAGTTTTTTTATTTGTGTCAAAAATCTTTTCCTACATCCAGTCAAATATCTAATGTGACATAAAAAAATTTCTTTTCGTGAACTAAACAGGCTCTTAAAATGAGATGGGGGAATAGTTGGTAGGAGTAGTTGCCAAACGTGGTTCTAGCTAGTACCTACTCCCAGTCTCCTTCTATACATATACGTGTACCCTCTGCTTCAAATTTTACGTGGTACTAGTTGAAAATTACATGCTCAGACAAAAACAAACCAGAAACGATTTATTCACATACATAGCTCGAAATGTTCAAATTTTGAATGAAGCAAGTAGTTGTTTCTCGATATTTTTCCCCCTTGACTGTCCAGAAGTTGCTTACATATAAAAGCACAAGAACACATTCTGATTCATACAAAGCAGCCGCACAGCGTGCAGCAGAAGCATCGTTCGAATCCAACCGATGGCGAAGCCGACGGTGGTGTTGCTGCCCGTGTGGGGCGCCGGCCACTTCATGCCCATGATCGAGGCCGGCAAGCGGCTGCTCCGCGGCAGCGGCGGCGCGCTGTCGGTCACCGTGCTCCTCATGCCGGCGCCGACGCCGGATGCGGCGGTCGACATCGCGGCCCAGGTGAAGCGCGAGGAGGCCTCCGGCGCCGACGACATCAGCTTCCGGCACCTCCCCGCCGTCGACATGCCGACCGTCCACACCGGCATCGAGGAGTGGGTCTCCCTCATACTGCGGAGCCACGGGCCCCACGTGAGGGCCGCCATCGCCGGGCTCGATTGCCCCGTGGCCGCGCTCGTCACCGACATCTTCTGCACGCCGGCGCTCGACGTGGCCGCCGAGCTCGGCGTGCCGTCCTACGTGTACTTCACCTCCGGCGCCGTCATGCTGGAGCTGCTGCTGTACTCGCCGGTGCTCGACGAGGAGGTGCCCGGCGAATTCTCGGAGATGGATGGCGCGCTGAACATTCCCGGGCTGCCGCCGGTGCCGCCGTCCGTGCTCCCGGCGACGATGCTTCACAAGAAGAAGATGTCGACATACAGGTGGTTCCTCGAAACCGGGAGGTGCTACATGAAGGCCACCGGCTTCATCGTCAACACGGCGGCGGAGCTCGAGCAGAGCGTCATCGACGCCATCGCCGACGGCCGGTGCACGCGCGGGGTGCCCGCGCCGACGGTGTACGCGATCGGCCCGGTGATCGCGCTCACCCCGCCGCCGGAGCAGCCGCACGAGTGCGTGCGGTGGCTGGACGCGCAGCCCCCGGCGTCCGTGCTGCTCGTCTGCTTCGGCAGCAAGGGCCTCCTGCCGCCGCCCAAGGTGCGGGAGATAGCCGCCGCGCTGGAGCGGAGCGAGCACCGCTTCCTGTGGGTGCTGCGCGGCCCGCCCAAGGACAGCCGGCCGGGGCAACGGGTGCCCACGGACGCCATGCTCGACGAGCTCCTCCCCGAGGGGTTCTTGGACAAGACCAAGGGGAGGGGGCTCGTGTGGCCGACGCGGGCGCCGCAGAAGGACATCCTCGCCCACGCCGCCGTGGGCGGGTTCGTGACGCACTGCGGGTGGAACTCCATCCTCGAGAGCCTCTGGTTCGGCGTGCCGATGCTGCCATGGCCGCTCGACAACGAGCAGCACGCGAACGCGTTCCTGCTGGTGTCCGTCCTGGGCGTCGCCGTGCCGCTGCGGCTGGACCGGGAGCGGGACAACTTCGTGGAGGCGGCGGAGCTGGAGCGTGCGGTGAGCACCCTGCTGGGCGGCGGGGACGGCGAGGCGGGGAGGAAGGCGAGGGAGAAGGCCGTGGCCGTGAAGGCGGCGTGCCGGAAGGCCGTCGAGAAGGGCGGGTCGTCTGACGCCGCGTTCCAGAGGCTCGCCGAGGAAATCCGGCGAGGTGCCGTTAATGTCCCGAAGAAGCGAAACTGAAAGGACTGAAAATCCGTCGACTGACGACTGTGCAGTGCAGAGCTGGCCAAAATCGAAACGCCCATGCGGCTTTGCGTGACTGCGTCTACACGTCGACATGTGTACGTTTTAAAATGCACGGGTTAGAGATTCTATCTATCGACTATACGTGTACGTCTGTACTGGCGTTTAATATGTGTGTATATGCATATCTGTTCATTGTTCAATAATAAATCTTTCAAAACAAGCAGATTCTAACCCGTGCACTTTTATGGCCGTGCTAGTAATTTGTTAATATGTTCTGCTTGGCGGTAGGGTGGATATCGAGCTAGCTCGGATCAGCTTTGCTCAGTATACTAACGAGCTAGAAGCCCACACTACTATAAAATTGATTTTTCTGGAAGAGACATCCCGCCTACAAAAATCGTTACCCCGCGGTCGGTTTAAGAGCTGCATGCTGTGAGAGATGGGAGTCTCCACCATGGCGCCATTATGAGGTTATATGGGTCAAGGTGGGGAGAGCTTGGGTGCAGTCTTGCGGACTTATAGTGTATGGCTATGGTTCTGTTTAGGTCCTGTTTGTTTCAGCTTAAGATTATTGTGATCTAGATTATTAAAAAAATCATATTACTCTAAGTTGCATTATAATAAGCTGACATACAATAAGCTGTGAACTTTTTGTTTCTCTGGATTATTGGAGGCATATAAGGGTAGTGTGTCTTTAGTCACCCAATAATCTGAAAAAAGCTCCTCCAAAGGAGATTATTAGATTATACCAATCTGGCTTATAGATTATAATAATCTAATTGTTTGTTTCAGCTTACTCCTAATAATTTAATAATGTCATTCGGATATATCAGTATTACATGGTAGGGAGTGAGTAAATTTTTAAAATGCTACTCACAATTTAAATTGTTTTTTAAAATATAAGTCCAATTTAATTGTGATATACAATCATATAGTTTATAATTTTAATTTATTAATATTTTTATGGATGTTTCGATGAGATGCGCTATTTAGAATAAAACTTAAAATAACATATATGTTTACAACTTAAAACATATGGTTAACATGAACTTTTTAGTTTTTCATCTAATTTAAGTATATAAGAAGGAAAAAGAAAAGTACGTAGAGGGGATATGTACGTACATCGGACGTACGGACGTACCGGTCCATGGGGACATGGCAACGTTGGATTTTTCTCTGTTTTTCATCTAATTTAAGTATATAAGAAGGAAAAAGAAAAGTACGTAGAGGGGATATGTACGTACATCGGACGTACGGACGTACCGGTCCATGGGGACATGGCAACGTTGGATTTTTCTGAGATAGATTGATTTGGTTTTTTAAATAAAGATCTAATGGTTAAAAATAATGGGTCCACCAGATTAAATGAAAACCGATGGTTGGATGTTAATACGCCACGTGGCGATCTAGGAGTGTTTATAGGAGCGCCACGTGACGGTTTGAGAGCGTTTATAGGAAATTTAATGGACTTAGTATATAATAGATAAGGATTGAATTTGATTTTACAGGGTTCTGGAGAGAACATGTGACAACAATTGGAATACTTCAAACTAGCTAGGATTAACGCTTCCTCTGTGTTTGGCGCTGGCGTGGCCACCAGCGCGTGTCGACGCGTCAGCGAGGCGCTAGATGGCGGGTAGTTTTCGTGAGCTCTCCTGCGTCCGTGTACTCACTTGGCGATTTTGCAAAAACGTCCTTGATTTACCTGATAATTTGTTATAGGTCCTTAGTTCTAACTTTTGCGTACTTACTTAGAGGTCCTCTGTAGAAAACAATATTCTATACGAAGAAGCGAAAAATTGGAAAATCGAACCGTGCTCTGAAAACTAGAAGATTAAGTGTTTTTGCAAAACAAAAACAACCCTAACCCCCTTCCTCGAACCCTAGCTGCCACCATTCATTTGCCTCCTCTCCTTCTCTCACTCCGCTCTATCTCCTGCCCAAGCAATGGCCGCCACCGCATGCCGCCCCCCTCATTCTCTTCTTCCCGCAAGTGATGACCTCCCCCGCGCACTCTCTGCTGCCGTGCCTGCCGCCGCCCAGCACGCGGGCCATTGCCGTCGCCATCCTCTCGCTTCCGTCGCCACATCCGCCAACGAGGAGGCCGGGACCGCCGGATCCGGTGACTTCGGCCTCTTCGCTGGCAGATCTGGCCACTCTAAGGCGAGGGGAAGCCGGCAGCCGCCCTCTATGCCCGGTACCGCCCCTCTCTCCCTCTCCTCTCCATCCTCTTCATTTCCGGATCGGTGGACGCCGGCGATTAGGCGGCCTAGGGTTCATGGTCAACAACAGTGGTTGATCCAGTGGCTGCTTTCCCGATCGCTCCCCTCTCTCCTGTGGCAGCGGCAGTCACAATTCACGAGATTCCTCATCCCGCACCGTGTGCTGATGATCCCTCTTCGCCTCCTTCCACCAATCCGCGGCAATGGCACAATCGCTGTCATCTTCACGTGCTCTTCCTCCGTTGCAATTTGAGATAGAGAGGAATTGCAATCCCTGACCTGGAGCTTTTTTGGCCATAGATAAGAGGATGAAAGAAAGAGACGAAGGGGGATGAACAAAGCAATTGCAATCTTCTACCCTCTTGCTTTTCCCATGCCTCTTGCTGTTTGTGGCTGCAATGGTGAGTACTGAATCTGGTGTTGACAGTCCTTAAATCATAATATCTAACCGCCAATATCTGCATATAATGAAATAAAATATGGTATCTGTCGACGGGGGATATCTGTAGACCGGATAAATAGGGTATTGGAGTACGTTGGTACAAGGTTCTACACGATACGACATCATAACGTATAAAAGATAAGGATTATACTGGTTTAGCCCCCTCGTGAAGTAATAGCCCTAATCCAGTTTATATGGGATTGATATAGAAAACCATAGAATACAAAGAGAATAGATGGATCCGACAATACCGGCGAGATCCTTGTCGAGATGATTCAAGGAGATCTCCCGGCGGCTTTGGCTGGCGTCCTCTGGCTTCATAGACTATGGTGGGTGTACTGGCGCTATGATTCGATGATCATGAACTCCTCAAGGGGTATGTCTTTTATACTGTGAATTGCCTTAGTCTTCAAGTAGAACCCGGAGATAACAAACTCTCCACGATATAGAATTATCCCTATCTTTTCCGAGTAGGATTCTGATAGTTACCAGCCTGTAAGGGTATTTTCCGTAATATTTTATATATTTCCTTATCGCATACGGAAACAAATCATAAGATATGGGGTATACCAATCCAGTATACTTGGTTAATCGTAGGATAGGATGTATGTCTCATCCGTAATCCTGACAGTATCCAACTTAGTGGTAGAGATTATTACTAATCAATTTCACTAGTGTTGATGAAATATGTGTATGCGGGTATTTTAAGGAGAAAACACACCCATCATGTGAGGAAACACGCCTCCGACCAATTAGGCGCGAGTATACGGATGGAAGGACCCATAAGTCAGGTGAAATCGTCATGAAATGAGTTATAACTGTCTTAACCGTAATCAGGACCCACTATATCAGGAGTTCAGGACCCACTATATTATAGAACTTGCTCCAATGCAAAGACCTCGGGCTCCACAGGCACGGACCATATGAAGGGGAGAAAAACATGACAACCCAACTAACGATACGGATGGACGATCCTCGGTTCCTCACCACACATCCTACCTAACAAACTCGAGGGAAAGAAAAAGTAGTACAGTACTAGTTCAATAACAACTGTTTTTTTTTCAATAACTCACTCTCTGTAAAAACACACTACAGAGTTTTGAATAATTTGTAGCTGACCTCGCATGTACAGTAAAGAACAGAGCACACTGCAAATAGTGTATGTGATGGTAAGATCGTGGATGCATGCACGTGCATGTGGACTTCAAGAGGATTTCAATGAGATTGAGATTAGGAATGCGTCGTTGGTATCTATCTATTTGAATGTGTGTTAGGGATGAATTCGTAGGGGTGTAAGTATGGTGTCGCGTGTGTTAATCAGTGGCTGTCTCTGATTATTAGTTGGGATAACAGTAATTTTGATATTTTATACTTTCTCCGTCTCATAATATAAGGGATTTTGAGTTTTTGTTCGTAGTGTTTGACCACTCGTTTTATTCAAAAAATTTATGCAAATATAAAAAATAAAAAGTTGTGCTTAAAGTATTTTGGATAATAAAGTAAGTCAAAAAAATAATAATTTTAAAATTTTTTGAATAAAACGAGTGGTCAAATAGTACATGCAAAAACTCAAAATATTATAGGACGGAGGGAGTACCTTTAACGATGTTGAAGGTCTTGAAGGAAAGAAATCGAAGTCTTCCAAACTGTGTTTGTCTTATCTCTTATAGCAAAAGTAAAGAAAGAGGTAAAACCGTGAACAGTTGAGCTTCAGCAGAAGCAAGTAAATCACATTTTGCAATTGCTTAGGTAGTTTTCGGAAACGCTATATTTGTGTGACCACAAATTTGTATTTTGTTTGGTAGTTAGATTTTTTTGACCGTTGATGCTGCTTTAAAATCTGTGTTTCTTTACACGCAAACCCAATCAGGATACTATTAGTTGTTATCGGGTGAGAGTTTGCATACCAATAAAGGTGTGAATGGGCTTGTTTTCGGACTTACAATGTAAAGAAATGTTGAATATTTTTCATGAATAATATGACAGGTAGTCCCCTATTTTTTCTTTTATATTACCCTTTTATGCCGGTTCATAAAAAAAAGCATTGTAGACATTTATCATGTTCAACAAATTTATGCTGACAAAACTAATTGCACAAAGGGACTATCGTCGTATTTTTTATAAAAAAATATTCAACATGTATCAAAAATACATACTCCCTCCGTCTCATTCAAAAAATTTGTATAAATATAAAAAACGAAAAGTTGTGCTTAAAGTACTTTGAATAATAAAGTAAGTAAAAAATAATAATAATTCAATTTTTTTTAATAAGACGAATGGTTAAACAGTACAAGCAAAATGTTAAAATCCCTTATATTAGGGGACAGAGGGAGTATGTAATTTTAGTGTATTTACACTGTAAGTTCTAAAATTATATAGGTAAGTTGATAAAAGTAATGAACATTTAAATAAAAACATATGTAATTTAGTGCGAAAATGCTTAAAGCCGGTCGTCCGGCGCAGGGGGAGCCGGATCGGGTGCTCCCCCCGCGCGCCCCTCCCCCCACGTGCGCACCTGCTGGGCCCACCCACTTCTCTATCCCCTTTTTCCACAAAAGATGTTTCATCTAGTGTACTTACAATGTTTTACTATTTATAGATCTAATGTTGCAGTGAATTAAAATACTCTTTTGCAATAAAAAACCCACATATTTTGGAAACTCCGGAATTTGGTTTATTTTTTGTTCTACCAAAAATATTTCACCTAATATACTCACAATGTTTCACTATGTATAGATCTAATGTTACAGTGAACGAAACATTTCATTGCAACAAAAAAACCACATATTTTGAAAACCCCCTATTAAGGGAATTTGGTTTATTTTTTGTTCCACCGAAAAATGTTTCACCTAGTATACTTACAATGTTTCACTATGTATAGATCTAATGTTGCAGTTAACTGAAACATTCTTTCGCTATTTGCTGAAATATTGTTTTTATATAAGGTGAAACAACACCCGATTTAAACGAGTGAAACATTTTCGATCTACTTAGTGAAACAATTCCAATATACCTAGTGAAACATCGTGTAACATTTAAAAATAATGAGTAAATAATTCAATAATAAGCTAAAATATTTTTTCGTCGGAATATATTTATGTGTGGTCTTGTTTTGAAGATTTAATTGCAACGAATTTAATGGTGCAATCAGATCATGATTTGGATAAGTAATTTAAGAGAAAAATCAGTTTAAAGTAGTTTTACACGTAAATCAGATGCTGACGTCAGCGCCCGATTTTAACCTCCTCCCATCGGGCGCACGAGCGGGAGTCACGTCCAATTTAGTTGGGTTGTGTGTGCACGTGATGTGAGTGTCACGAGGTCAAATCCACTTACAAATTCAATAAAATTACACTCCCTCCTCCTAACCCACCTCTCTCGTTTTCCGCGCACACGCTTTTCAAACTATTAAACGGTGTATTTTTTAAAAAAAAATTCATACGAAAGTTACTTTAAAAATCACATTGATCTATTTTTTTAAAAAAATTAACTAATACTTAATTAATCACGTGTTAAAAGGCCGCTCCATTTTACGTGCAGGAGGGATGGATTGCCATCCTCCACTGCCGAACACACCCTAAGAGCAAGTTTAATAGTATAGCCAACTACTAGCTTCAATTTATCTATAGGCAATTTAATAGCTCATTAATATAATAGTTACGTAGCAAAACCATTGCAGCAAACTACGCCTCAGCTAACTTTCTATAATTGGCTCAGCCCTAATCTACAACTCCTCAGCTAACTTTCTATAATTCGCACAGTAGCAGGACAGTCGCCGCCTCCATCAATGGCGAAACCGACGGTGGTGGTGCTGCCCGTGTGGGGCGCCGGCCACTTCATGCCCATGATCGAGGCCGGCAAGCGGCTGCTCCGCGGCAGCGGCGGCGCGCTGTCGGTCACCGTGCTCCTCATGCCAGCGCCGACGCCGGATGCGGCGGTCGACATCGCGGCCCAGGTGAAGCGCGAGGAGGCCTCCGGCGCCGACGACATCAGCTTCCGGCACCTCCCCGCCGTCGACATGCCGACCGGCCACACCGGCGTCGAGGAGTGGATCTCCCGCATACTGCGGAGCCACGCGCCCAACGTGTGGGCCGCCATCGCCGGGCTCGACTGCCCCGTGGCCGCGCTCGTCACCGACATCTTCTGCACGCCGGCGCTCGAGGTGTCCCGGGAGCTCGGCGTGCCGGGCTACGTGTACTTCCCCTGCAGCGCGTCGATGCTGGCGCTGCTGCTGCGCTCGCCGGGGCTCGACGAGGAGGTGGCCGTCGAGTTCGAGGAGATGGACGGCGCGATCCGCATCCCCGGGCTGCCGCCGGTGCCGCCGTCCGCGCTCCCGTCGACGATGCTGGACAGGAAGAAGTCGACGTACGACTGGTTCGTCGCCACCGGCAGGGGCTACATGAACGCCACCGGCGTCATCGTCAACACGGCGGCCGAGCTCGAGCAGAGCGTCCTCGCCGCCATCGCCGACGGCCGGTGCACGCGCGGGGTCCCCGCGCCGACGGTGTACCCGATCGGCCCGGTGCTCTCCTTCCCCCCGCCGCCGGAGGAGCAGCCGCACGAGTGCGTGCGGTGGCTCGACGCGCAGCCCCCGGCGTCCGTGCTCTTCCTCTGCTTCGGCAGCAAGGGGCTCCTGCCGCCGCCCAAGGTGCGGGAGATAGCCGCCGCGCTGGAACGCAGCGGCGGCCACCGCTTCCTGTGGGTGCTGCGCGGCCCGCCCAAGGACAGCCGGCAGGGGCAGCGGGTGCCCACGGACGCCATGCTCGACGAGCTCCTCCCCGAGGGGTTCTTGGAGAGGACCAAGGGGAGGGGGCTCGTGTGGCCGACGCGGGCGCCGCAGAAGGAGATCCTCGCGCACGCCGCCGTGGGCGGGTTCGTGACCCACTGCGGGTGGAACTCCATCCTGGAGAGCCTCTGGTTCGGCGTGCCGGTGCTGCCATGGCCGCTCGACGCCGAGCAGCACTTCAACGCGTTCACCCTGGTCGCCCACCTGGGCGTCGCCGTGCCGCTCGGCATGGACAGGAGGCGGGACAACTTCGTGGAGGCGGCGGAGCTGGAGCGCGCGGTGAGGTCGCTGATGGACGACGCGTCGGACGAGGGGAGGAAGGCGAGGGCGAAGGCGGCGGAGACGAGGGCCGTTTGCCGGAAGGCCGTGGAGGAGGGCGGGTCGTCGTCCACGGCGTTCCAGAGGCTCACCGACGATATCGTCCGAAGGGGTGCCGTTCAAATCCGTTAAGTTTGCTGGTTTCACCGCAGATTATGTGCGCGCGCAATGAGTCCTCTTTACTCAATCCATTCGATGTCTCATGTTGTGAACTTGTGATTCCTGTTGGTTGATCCGTTTGGTATGGTGTCGAATAAAATAAAGGGGAAATAATTCTAACGTTCTCTTTCTAACGGGAATTAGACATAAGAACTAGAAGGTGGTTTGATAGGTTAACAACCAACTTAAATCTTATCGGTTTAGCACGCGTCACTACTACAGATCCGGGCTTCAGTGACGAGTCATCTGTGACGGGTCAACACAACTCGTCAAAGATGAGTCATCTCTGACGGGCCGAAAAAATATCCTCTTCAATATATGGCTACCAGGGAGGACCCGTCACAGATGTGAGGTCGTCTGTGACGGCTTGCACTTGTAACCCGTCACAGATCGTCTGTGACGGGTCACAACCATGACTCGTCACAGATGACATGTCATCGGGTGTAGTATTATGAACCATCACAAAAGAGACCACTCATCTCTGACGGGTCTTTAACTAACACACGTCGCAGATAACGTTATCTCTGACGGGTGGTAGTTATGACCCGTCAGTGATGAGTGAAAATTCAAATTTTTAAATTTTGCAAAAAACCTCGGATTAAGACATGTCCTATATAAAAGTTGTAGCTCTCGATGATATCCACAACTTTATAACTAACAACATTTCTATTAGAGATCGTTTACATCCCCGAACATGCATTACAAGTGATCAGATCTACTTTTAAAAACAAAATTTTGAGTTTTTTTTTTCAAATGACATGGATGGATACATGCCCCATATCAAAGTCATAGAACTCAACCAGATCTACAACATTATAATTGAAAATATTTTCATTTCACAAAGTTTACATGTTCAAAATACATGTTATAAAGTGAGATATATTTTGAAAAATGAAATTTTGAATTCTTCAAACAACATCGGATGAAGATATGTTCTATGTAAAAGTTATAAAACACGATGAGATCTATAACTATTTAGTTGATAATATTTTCATTTGAAGTCATTTAGAGTGTTAAATATATGTTAAATTATTCAGACAAGCATAAACAAAATAATAACATTAGGTGAGTAGTCAATATGTGCTGAGTAGGTGAGTTGGTAAGGGAGCTCTATAAGGAGGTTGAGGTCTTGAGTTCGAATCTCACGTGTAGCATGCAAGTTATATTGCGTGAAAAATTATGAATTTGTAGGTAGTGATGTGTAACCATGTATAGGAAGGCTAGTAAAATTGAAAATATTTTTTTGAGGTTTTTTTGTTGCGTTTAAAATTCAAAAATTGTATTTCTTGCTTTGTCATCAGTGACGGGTCGTAAGTTACAACCCGTCAGAGATGAGTCATCAGTGACGGTCAGATAGTTACGACACGTCACTGATGACTCATCTATGACGGGTGACAAGTTTTAACCCGTCAGAGATGACTTATATACCGGTCAGAGATGGGTTATCTATGACGGGTGTTTCACCCGTCACAGGTGATTTTATCATCAGTGACCACTAATCACTGACCAAGACCAAACCCGTCAAAGGTGAGGGTTTGGGCCCGTTACAGATGACCTGGTCCGGCGTAGTGCGTGTTGCCATAAGCCCCAAACCTTACATATGACCGATCGATCTTGCGCTGGGTTCGTAGTGTTAAACCTAAACCGACGACCTAGCTGCTGCTTGTACCGTGCATCAAGAAGAAAAGAGAAAATCTATAGAACAGCATGCCGTTCAAATGGGATAGACATTAGATCAATATCCCACACCTCATCTTGACTCGTTTATTCAGCGTCGTCCACCACCCACCGCGCGCAAGCTACTCCCTCCGTCCTCTGTCCCCCTCTCTGCGCCCACGACCACTAGCCGCTGGCCACCGGGAGTCATTTTCTCGCCGCATCGACCGCAACACCATCTGAGCCGGCCATCGGCGACGTCCCCAGCAAGCCGACATGCGGGCAACAATGGCAGAGCCTGCATGCGGCTAGATGTCCACAGGAAGAAGGAAGAATATGAGGATATGGCTTTTCTAGTAGTTCGTCGTCTGCATCTACTCACAAATCTCATCTCTTTTTTTTTGTTCTTGTTTTTGCTGTTGCTTCGATTTCATACTAAGGAATCAGCAGATGGATGAGGATACAATGTGTTGGAGAGAGGAAGAAGATGACTTGTTTGGTACAAAATAATACCTCTGGGTACCTAGCTTTGATACTTTTTTTTGTACCAAGCCTAATATGCAACTACTGGTCTTGATACCTCGTGGATACCAGACCAGGTAGGTTGGTACCAACCTTAGTACCATGGGTATCAGGTCTGATACCCCAAATACCGAATCTAATATTCTAAGTATCAGATCTGATACCTATGGTACCAAACTGATACCTTGGGTATCAACCCGATCTAGTACCTCAGATATCAAGTACCGATACCAGACTAGGTACCACCAACCATAGTACCGTGGGTACCAGGTCTGATACCTCAAGTATCGAATCTAATATCCCAATCGGATCTGATACCTATGGTACTAGACTGATACCTTGGGTATAAACCCGATCTAGCAGTCTGGTACCATAGGTATCAGATCCATTACAGGTACCAACCAGATCCGGTACATCAGGTATCAAGATACGGGTACCAACCAGATCTGGTACCTCAGGTATCAAGTACCGGATCCGATACCATAGGTATCAGATCTGATACGGGTACCAGCCAGATCTGGAACCTCAGGTATCAAGTATCGGATCTGATACGGGTACCAACCAGATCTGGTACCTCAGGTATCAAGTATCGGATCTGATACCTAAAAGTTGTGTGGGGACTCAATGCGAGCGCATGGATGCGTGGGGGAGCGCAACGGACACGTGAAGGGCATGGGAGAGCGATGCGTATGTGTGGGAGGAACAGATACAGACGTGTGGGGACACATGCGCATGGTTGATGGGGCAACAACTCGTCATTAACTCATTATAATCTATCCCGTTACATGGGATATCGTGCTCTAGCAGTTCTCAGAAGAAAATTGACAGATCAGGGAAGAGAAAATCAAGATCAATCAATGGCTTCACAAAATGATCGGTGTATAGATCAATTTCGCAATTAGTATTTAGTAACAGAGGTGACCATGTTAGGTTAAGATTAAGTCTATGCAATTAGATTACAGCAGATACATCACCTACAAGCTACTACAACATTGAACTTTAGATTTGATTTATTAACTGTGGATTGTATGGGATTACAAAACACCTTGGGATGTGAATGGTATTGAGTGAAAACTTTGGGATGTGAATGGTATTGTAATGCCATGATAATTTGCAAAATAAATTTTACGAATCAGTTTTTGCTATATATGTGTGTTGACATATCTATCTATTATATTATTAAAACAGCCTTGAAAGGAGGCACCACGTTCGCTGTGGGGGCTAGAAATTCCCACATTAATCGGAGAAAAAGAAAACCAGAGTTCAACTAGAAATACAATTTAAAAATAGCTGAATTTTGGAATTAAAAATAAGCAATATAGAAAGAAGAGTCCATATAAGAACTCAATACGAGATTAATCAAAATTCGGAATAAAAATAAAATAAAATATAAAATTAGAAAAGAAAATGAGAGTCCAAGTAGGAATACAATTTAAAAATAACTGAAATTCGTAATTAAAAATAAAGAATATTGAAAGAAGAGTCCATATAAGAACCCAATATGAGATTAATTAATATTCAGAATAAAAATAAAATAAAATCCGAAATTACCAAAAAAGAAAAGAAAAGAAAAGAAGAGTTTAAGTAGAAATACAATTTAAAATTAACTGAAATTTGGAATTAAAAGTAAGCAATATTGAAAGAAGAATTCATATAAGAACCCAATACGAGATTAATTAAAATTCGGAATAAAAAATAAAATAATATCCAAAATTAGAAAAATAAAAGAGATTTCAAGTAGGAATACATTTTTGAAACAATTGAAATTGAAAATAAAAAATAAAAATATGAAAAGGACACAATACGATATTAATTAAAATATGAAAAAAAAATAAATTCTGAAATTAGAAAAAGAAAAAAAAAGATTTCAATAAAGGAGTACAATTTATAAATAACTAAAATTGGTTATAAAAAATAAAGAATATTGAAAGAAAAGACTATCTAAAACACATGACGAGATAAAGTAAGTAACAGGCCTATAAAGGAGTAGAGTTGTGGCGGTTGATACGACATATAAAAACTGTTAATAAAACACCAAATAGAATCCTAATAACGATTAAAAGGAGAGGCGACAGACAGGCCGTGAAGCAAATAGGCAAGACAGTTGCCGGGACTTTAGAAAGTAAAAAAAATAAACCACATTGATAATCATATTCGATTTTTAAAATCTAAATAACAATAAAGAGAAGCAGCGGGCGGGGTGTATAGGAATATAGTTGCAGAGCCGCCGACGGTTGGCGGGACTTCTAGAAAATAAAAAATGAATTCCAAAGATAGTTATGTTCAATTTTTAGATTCCCAATGACAATAAAGAGTAGGCGGCGGACGGGTCGTAAAGGACTATAGTGGCCTCGTTTGACGGGACTTCTAAAAATTATAAAAAAATGAAACCCAACAAGACAATAAACTCTGAAAACTAGATGGTCCAATTTTTAAAGGTTCGGAACTTCTAAAAAGTAAAAAAAAACCAATAATAATCATGTTCGATTTTAAAATCTCAATAATAATAAAGAAGGGAGGCAACGGGCAAGCCATGTAGGAGTACAATGGCAAAGTCGCTGACGGTTTGGCGGGACTTCTAGAAAGTAAAAAAATAAACCGAATAATAATAATTATGTTTGATTTTTAAAATCCCAATGACAATAAGGAGAAGAGAGAGTGGACGGGCCGTAGAGGAGTATAATGGCAGCGTTTGACGGGACTTCTAGAAATTATAAAAGCGAAACCCAACGAGACAATAAACTCAAAAAACTATAAGATCTAATTTTTAAAGATTCAAAGGAGAATGAATAGAAATAGTGGTAGATCGAGTAAGCAAATAAAGAAGGATATGACAAAAGTAAGGGGTATTAACTGGTATGACTTTTAAAAATGATATAATTAGAAACACAAGGATGATAATGTTTGGTCTTTGAAGGAGATGACATAAGTAAGGGGTATTAACTGGTGTGACTTTTAAAAATGATATAATTAGAAACACGGGGATGATAATGTTTGGTCTTTTAAAATCTTAAGACAATGAGATAGCTAATTAATAAATTTTAAGTAAAATCATACTAAAAAATATATGAGTTTGTTTGGGTACTAGTCGCGCAATTGCGCGGATCACCCAGCTAGTTTTCTTCTAAAGTCAAAATTTTTAATCACTACTAGAAAAAAAAATACCCGTGCATTGCAACGTGTGGATGATATTTTAATCTTATTATTTTTATACGATTTAGTTAGGATAAAATTTACTGTGGGAATTCGCTTGGATTTTTTTTTAAAGAAAATCATGAGCTGCAATTAGGAGTTCAACTTTCATCTCAAGTTAGCATACAAGTTTTTCTAAAAGCAAACGAACTTAAAATCCGACTCATACATATATCTATATTTCCAAAGCGAACGAACTTAAAAACCGACTCAAATACGGATGACGTAGCAAATACCGGCAAAAACATCTTCAATTTTTATAATAGTAGAGATATGATTATCAATTTGGGAAGGAGTGAATATTTCTTTTGGCACCAAGACCAAGGAGTAATCAATTCATTCACAATGTGACAAAACTAATAAACATGTGACCAATAAGTAATAAAATGGTTTCTTGGGTTCCGATCAACAACTTAACTTAGCGCATATATAGTGACTACAAAGGATCGCGTTCCTCTTACGTAAAGTCAGAGGGACGTGGGTCACTGATGTGTGGGCCTAACCTTTGTGGGTCGCACATGTCAGTGACAAAGTTCCTCTGACTTTACGTCGAAGGAGACTCATCCGACTACAAATTGGTTCTAGACTTTTGGAAAAACCAAAAAATAGAATAAGTCTTAGACTTTTGAAATGAGGAAGCATTTGTTTTTCATAAGTTTGAATTCCTTCTAAGATCCTATTCGTTTTGGAGGAATTTCATAACATAGGAATTTAGGAATAGGAAAGGTTGAGAAATAGGAAAGCATGCACACTCTAAATTCATAGGAAATTTTTAAGAGGTTTAAGTGGATAATTTTTTTTCTATATTTTATATCTACAACTTTTACGAAAGAAAAATTTTCTTTGGTTTCCCTATAACTACATTCATATGAATCAAATAGCACTCGTAGAAATTAATTCCTAGTAATCCAAATCCTTTGGTTTTCTTCCTAACCGAGCAAGTCCAAAATATTGCAGTCCCAAATGTTACATTTATGAGACCTTTTACAGTGATTGGAAGGTACCCAAGGTACCTCTCCTCAACTTAAACATCCACACGTTGATTCTCAAAGAGTAGATTAGGAATTGGATTAACATAAACATGGGCAGTTTAGTAATTTTTCTTTAGCCATCGTGATTAACCGTTCTTTATTTTTTGGTTATATCTTCCTGCACGCCTGCACACATACCCCTATATGATGGATGACTCCAATTTCAAAACTAGAATTTATACGTCCATCCATCTCTATTGTCTTTAGAAAGTAATCCATACAAAGAGACGGAGACACATCGATCAATTTTTCATTTAGAAGTCTTCACAATCACCTGCAAATCTCATATAGATATATGGAAAGACGCGCAAATCAATTACCTAGTTCTAATCATCAATTATGTGCTCTTCAATTAGCATGTAGCTATACGATCTGCAAACACTAATCAAGTCCTAGGCGTGTGCATTGGCACCAACGGACTGAAGACGTTATTATCTCTCCACGCTCTGGCCGCCGGAGCAGCAGAAATGCAGAATTAGAGCACCCGCAATGGTAAAGTAAGGTGCTATCTATAAAACATGTACACCTCAACAATAGACTAGATTAATAGTAAACCACTTCAATAGTATGTCTACATGGGTATCTATAGCTCTCTAATCCATTGCCTCGTTTTTCTCTATAGACTATCTCCATATTAGTAGATAGCTTTGCTCTCTCTCTTCATTTAATCTCTTCCAAGTAGGAAAATATGCTGACATGGATCTCTTATAGAGAGCTTATAGATAACCATTGTGGGTGCCCTTAGTATCCCGTTCAGTTCCTCCTCTTTTTATGAAATATAGAAACCAAATTACATATCTAACATTTTCCAAGTAAGGGCATCCACAATGTAGTGAAAAAGTAGGTATTAGGGATTAAAATATTCTTGCTACTAGGTAAGATACATTATGGAAGTAGTAAATAGCTACTACCAAGTCAGAGCAAGTTTAATAGTATAGTCAACTACTAACTCCAATTCATCTATAGCCAATCTAATAGCTCATTCATACAATAGTTACATACTACATTATTAATACCTGGTCCCACCTATCATACACACACTGCGTCTTGGAGTCCGTGCTACAGCTGGCTACAAATCTGTAACCCGCTGCCATTCTCTCTCCTCATTTATCTCCTTAAAATATGTTTGCAGCTGGCTTATAGCATGCTATTGTACCTGCTCTCATAATCTTACTACTAGGTTATAACACTTTGTGGTGGGTCCTACCTATTTTTTAATTGTGGCATGGCTCATGTTTGGAGTATTTTTTTCAGATGGGTCCTATCTTATTACCCACATATGACTCCATTCCTACTTGCACATACAAGACACCCAGACCCTGTTTGGTTATATGGGCTAATGTTTATCCCTCACCTTCTAGCCTCAAATTAGCCCTCAAGGATCCAAATAGGTGGGCTATTTTTGAACTGATATGAATTAGCCCCCCTCAAAACATTAGCCCCTCCAAGAGGTGCTAATGGAGCTAATTTTATGTGGGGACCATCAAAAAGTAGCTCTCTCTCCTTCTCTCCCCTCTCTTTCTATTCTCTCTCTACTTTTTAGCCTTGAATTAACTCATGGATCCAAACATGTCACCCTTTAGCCTACCAATTCATAACTAAACATTAGCTCTCAAAATTAACCCTAGGCTAATCTTTCAAACAGGGCCCTAGTACTACCATCAGGGCATCTTTCAAACAGGGTCACAGTACTACCATCAGGGCATAGGGCCATGGGCACGGGATTAATCTAGCGCGGTCAATGGACCCTTCGGTTCCATAATTACTAGTACTCCTAGATTGCAGAGTAGATAGGTGCCTCTTCGGTAACCTGCTACAATTAAATACAAAGGCTTAATTCTTTCTCCATTTCTTGAACCGAACTACTCCAGTCTATATATATGGCCTTTGGTCTGCATAGCTGTCCACGTCATCAATATCCTAGCTGGAAGAGTGAGAAACGAGGAGAGATGGAAGAACGGGCGCTTATATTGTCGCCGGCTACAGCACAGAAAAAAAGACAGTGTCGCCGGCTTACCATCCCTGCTGACTCCAAGTCTATGTATTGTGTTTCTCGATGCAATGCAAAGACGGAGATAGGGTAGAAAGGAAGGCATGGTCAGAGATAAGATTTAAAAATTAAAAAGTACTTACCGGAACCTGTATTCACTACTAGCTATAGCCAACTATTGTACCTACTAGCTATACCCATTAGCTGCTATGGGTGTTGCTGCAGCCCGCTGCTAGCTGCATTATTGACCTTGCTCTTATGAGGAATCATCATCGGTAGGCAAAAGATCACCTACGTTCTTGATCAATCCACCATATTGGTTCACTCCAAGAAGATATGGTAATTCGATTGACCCCTTTACCACATTACACTGTTCTGTACAGTTATATATATATATATATATATATTATTTATTTTATTTGTGACTTAAGTTATTATCTACTGTACTTTAAATATAATTTTTCGTTTTTTTATATTTGCAAAAAAAAATTGAATGAGACGAGTGGTCAAACGTTGCAAGCAAAATCTCAAAATCCCTTATATTATGGGACGGAGGGAGTATATATATTCTTATCGCAGCAAAATCTAGTCAATTGTTATGGCATCTGAGAAATGTTGAATCTCTTAAGTCTAGTAGTCTTCATGTTTCACTCCGGCTTATTAGCATGTTGATCCTTCATCCTTACGGAAGATTTTTCAAATTTTTCCTTGAAAGAAGAACCCGAAGAAGGAGATAAAGTTCATGACGTACAACGTTTGGTCTCGCGAGGACGTTGCGGTGTACAAGAGGATGAAGGCCATCGGCAGCCTCGTGGAGAAGCACAAGCCGGACGTGATCTTCTTCCAGGTAAATCAAAGCGATCTGATGTTGGTTCATCTGCTAAAATAATTGTCCGCATCTAGAAATATCCTCATTTCCAATATCTAAGATGAATTATCTGCACGATGTTCTTCGGATGTGCAGGAAATCACGCCATACATTCTCAGGATCTTCAAGAGCTTTGCGTGGTGGAAGGAGTACCACTGCTCAGAAGTAAAACCTGAAGAACAGGCAACCAAACTGCACTTCTGCATGATGGTATGCAGCCTTTTGGTACATTCTACTTCATTTATTCAGGATCAATATCATCAATTTTAATATGTTTTTGTAACTATTTTACATGTATTTTGAGAAAACGAGGAAATGTCGTTTGTTCATCGACTGAATTTCCTTGCGTGCAGCTGAGCAAGATTCCCATGGAGAAGCCCGCGAGCTGGAAGTTCACCAACACGTCCACCGGCAGAGGCTACGTGGAGGCCGACATCAACCCGGGGACGTCGTCGCCTGCCATCCACATCGCCACGACCCAGCTGGAGAGCCCCTCCTCCGGCCCGCCGGCGGCGCAGCCGCAGACGCGCTCCTTGGAGCGGTACGCGCAGGCCGAGCACGCCGTCGCCGCGCTGGGCAGCGCCAGGAACGTCGTGCTCGGCGGCGACATGAGCTGGGACGACGCCGTCGACATGCCGTTCCCTCTCCCGGCCGGCGGCGGCGGCGGCGGTGGCGACTGGGTCGACGCCTGGACTGTGCTGAGGCCGGAGCACGAGAGAGCCAGTGCTCGACGTACGACGGCATCTGGAACGAGGATCTCGCCGTGTTCAACGGCTTCACGGCGAATGCTGGCCTCGTCGCTGAAGAAGAGATCGGACCGGTTCGTGTGCAAGCTGCAGGATTACAAGCTGGGAGGCATCGAGTTGATCGGGAGTACGGAAAACCTCGGGATTGATTACCTGAAGAAACGCAGGGACTAAACTTCACCTGAGGCCGAGCTGCCACCTCGGCGTGGTCCTGACCGTCGTCGTCACGGGCGATCCGCCGCCGGTGCATGGCGCATTGGCGCCACGTCGGAAGCTGCGGGACAGCACTGGTTCTACGGCGCCTTCCGAGTAGTTTGCGGTTGACTGCACGATTTGGTGTGCGCATTGCACCGGTGCAGCCACACTCACTGCTCCCATCAGATGGCCTAATAATCCAAAGAACTTAATTTAAATTTTAAATTTTAAATTTTCAAACTTAATTTGAGATTGATTTTGAGATATTTTCAACGTAGTTTTTTTCAGTATTGGCTTTTAAGTCACCAAGTGTATATATATATATATATATATATATATATAATTTTTACCTACAAATTCATTTAGCTTATTAGGAAATAAGCCAAACAATGGGGCCTTCAAATCTGAGTACCTGATCGTTTCGTTTTGACGGGCAATGGGCAGGCCTGCTTGGGGATTGGGGTTGGTCTAGTGCGTTTGAGATCCTCTAATATGGGCTCAAAAGTGATGGTGAACTTCATTGTATTTTCGCCAATATTAGAGGACTACGATATTTTCACAGTACTATGCATTGGTACTACAATATTTTCTATGTCATCAGTAACCGCATATGTCAACATTGAATTTTCTATATCGATTAAATCCTATAATGCCAGTCGTAGTGAACAGTAATATTAGAGGATCTGATTTCCGTCTAATGCACGATCAACAGTACCATGCCCACAACAATGGCAGCGGTAGCACGAACACCCGTGCCAGCCCACCTGTTCGCCCTTATCTTTCTTGGGCCTCATTAGCCCAACCCCAAAAGATATGTGCGTTGACTTTATAAATATAAAACTGATTTGCTAGAAAACTTTCGCAAGTTTTTTTCCCCCCAAAACTTTCAGATTTGCAACCATCGGATCGTCTCGAGATTTGTATATGAAGAGAAAAAATTGCTAAAAATTTTTTTCGCACATGTCACACATAAAATCCCAGTGTTATCTAACCAACTTATCGTTGAATGCAAGTTTTAATAAGTTATATCATAGTTACAGTGTAGTTACAATGTAATTACACTTCAGTTATACTATAATTACATCTAAAAGTTTTTGGCCAAAAGTTTTGACCCAAATTATATAACTTTGACTATCAACAAATTTTAAAATAGTTAGTGTTTTTTTCAGAAACATAGTACAATCGCAGATGCTCACAACACACCCACACTCACCCATTGAATACATAAAAGTTGGTATTTGTATATTTGCTTTGAAAATAAGTTATATAATCTTAAAGGCTTATTGTATTTCATAAATTTATTCTAGTAAAAGTTATGGTTAAGTCCAAAGATCAATAGAAGATCAAACATTACATACTTTTTTACTGGAGGAAGTTAAAAATAACTATCACTGGTAGTTTTTAGATAATGAACTATCACTAGTAGTATACTTATTTTTTCAGACTTCTTTACATGCCTTCCTTGAACATAAAAATTTCACAGGAATAATTATAATTTCCTAGAGAACATGAAAAATCATATGTTCCAGGAGATCTGATTTCTTATCTTGTGTGTTCTAAACTTCTTATGTGAGCTGAAAGGAGTTTGTCTGGTGGAGCCGGCCATAGCCCACCGATTCTAGCAGGTATACTTCATACCCTGGGTGAATTATGAAGACGTTGAGGAATTTTAGCAGATCATGCACATCTTTATCTAGAAAAGAAGAATGATTTATTGACGCTTATCTAACAATAAAGAATCACTAAACATACAGCCCCTGCCTGCTCCTCTAAAGTGTCATCCCAAAAATTCCATTTTTGTTACAATCTACATGCTCTTGTCATGTCCAAAAGTTTGAATTCGTCGTGATAAGCACCACTGACAAGCTCAACAACCACCGGAGGATGAACAAGAACCCTGTCTCCCTTCCAGTTCTTAGCCTCCATATTGCAGAGCCCTCTGCATCACTCGTCTGCGCAGTGGTTGTGTTTGCCCCGTCAGATTTGGTGACGTTGCTCAACAGCTTGCTGCATGGTAATAATTTGCACCATTAGCACAAGTCCAGGTATTGTGTGAAATACAAGTATGATATGCACAAAAGATTTATTTAACTCAAGAAAACAGTAGCATATTAACTAGTTCTTCAATTCAGAAGTTCAGAATGGTCAGTAGAAACTATGTTCGCTGTTAAATTTTCTCGTAACACATGGAAGCAAATGTAAATTGTCAGCATTCTTGCTTAGCAAAGTTCCCTAGCATTTTATACGGGCCTACTTATAAGTGCATCGAACAGTTTTTTTTTTTTTCAAAGTAAAGAGAAGGTTCGTGGAACATTTATAATTTTACTGTTTTATCATATCCCAACATTACCCTGTTATGTCCCTACTCTGTGGCACTCAGTGGTTAGTTCTTTTCTACCCTAAGATACCTTGCTATGAAAAAAATAAATTTTACGGAGAAGATATTCAGCTATATACCTTCCTGGAAAGATGCAGCTATCGTGACCTGCACAACAAAAAGTATAGGTCTGTTAGGAAAATATTTTAAAAAAACTCAATAGAAATGTTAAACAGGTGCTCATAAAATGGTTACGAGAAAACAAAGAATGTACAAAACAGTGTCATCCATTCCTACCTTTCTACTTTGAAAAGAAAACTACACCATGTGATGTGATTCTGAAGAGTGGTGTGAAAAGTTGAAGAATTTTTATTTATTTATTTTTTTTTGCGGGGAAGTTGAAGAAAAATTTTGTTTGGTCATTGTACTAGAACCTGTAAATAATCATCTGACTAGGTACAAAATTACCCACTCAAAGGATCCTTGAGGACCAGTAAAGCAGAAAATGCCCAAATCAATTTGCAGCGATGTTAAGCCCATGAAACTATGCTAGCACATGCCATGGGAAACATTGACCTCTCATCACAGAACAGCCATGCTGTTGGCTTGCAGTAGATCTAGAACTTTGCCAATAGGTCTGATACAATAGGACAGCAAAGAGAAGTTCTAATACTAATAAGTTGAATTCTTAGCTCCATATGAATGAACAATGTCTAGTTTTTCTAGTATACATCATTAGTCTGCAAAACAGAGCACAATACACAGTACTACGGACGACAAAATTATCATTACCTGCGGTAGTCTGAGACATCCTATTGAATATCAGCCTAAAAGGTATCCTAACTTATAGTATGTCAGTCAACTAAATTCAGAGCTTCCATTCAGTACTTCTTGTACCAGTCAATTCCTTAAACAGGTAAGCAAATATACACAGAATCACTAGACTCTCACAGCCAAGACTTCATACGTGTTAGCCATGTTCGCAAAATGGTTTTATATGACAAAAAAATATGTCAAGAAAAATTTGGATAAAACCATACAGATGTGTGTACTGTACTCATGTGTCCATGTAGTAATAGTGGTATTCCCATACCAGACAACAATACGTGCTCCCCAGCATACTCACCAGTTGGCCACTTGTTTTCATTATACTTTGTCTTGACTCTGGATCCACATACGAATTTTCGAAAGGTCCAGATGACATCCAGATCCAGAAGATTCCAGCATGCACTTTAGCTTTTCACTTGCCCCCTTTCATTTTCTCTAGTACAGGCAAGGCCACTGTCCAAAGCAGTTGCTAAACTTGCTAGTAGTTGGCCACAACAACAGTTCAGTACTTCAGTTCTCCCTGTTAGCTCAACGCAATTCTCATGACATGGCACGATGGTAAGGACATTCCCTCACCATTTGGCACTAATGCCTCATTGGCTCACCGCATGTTCTATACTGACCACTCTACAGGAGTACAGATCCATTACCATTCAGATTATGACTTCAGTGGCTATATATACGCGGTACTGTAACTATCTGCATGCATTCCCCCGTTAATACTGTCGAACCATGATTGGTATGGTACATTGAGATTAACAATTTATCGAAAACACAGTTGAGATATTGGAGATGGGGCAGGACTTCCACACAAAACACAGGTACACAGTGATAACTCCATAAAGCCTACTTTTGGTACTTGCACATCATAATGATGATAAATTTCATGACAACAAGACCTCGATGAGATTCACTAATACCACAAAAAAGGCAACATCCCAAGATTCCTGCACGCTACCCAACAGTGCCCAAACCCCACAATCAAAATGCAAACAAGGTTGCACATGAAAATGCAGTGCAATTGAGCAAACAATGCCAGAGCAACTATAGGCAATCACGGGCAACAAAAAGATTACAGATCTCAACTTTAGCTTTTGAAGCATGCGACAGACCACTATGAAAACTAAATGAGTATAAGATCTTTTACTTATACATCTCCATTGGCCATGATTTAGCTTTGTCATAAATGGTAATTTGGTTCTGAAACATTACACAAAATGGCACAGTTCAGAAAGATGACCGAAAACTGTCGTACTAATACAATCCAGAATTCTTTCCATGTATCAGCCCGGTCGGATGACTTCTTTATTGTTTTAGGCCATGTAAATTACAAAATTGCTTGATAATTTAAGGATCAGATATATTGTGATGTTATTCTGGATCCACCACTCATTCAAAATGGCATAAGAAAGTACATACAAGGATAAGTTGGTGAAAGGGATGGAGAGAGCAGGTGAGGTGGTGTATTGTGCCCTTCGCATGTGACTTGGACATATGTTTGCTCCTACTCACATGCGAAAAGAGAATTCTTTTTTGCAATCTTGTGGTGCCTTTTCTCTTTTATGAAATGGCATTGTGGGCTTGTGTTACCAATCAAACCATCACACTCTACTCCACACTCTGAGCACTCCCATCCGACTTACAGAGTACCAAACAAATCTACAACCAGATCCAGCTCAGCTTGTGTCCGCTCTATGCTACCTTTCTCATCCTATTCTATGTGGTCATGGACTCATTGTCGTATTAAAAAGAGATCTGCTATGGGCACAAAGAATATCATCACTGGGTCACTAACATGTAGGCCCCACTGCTGAGTTCTGGGGATCCATTTGTCGGCCACAAGCAACTCGGTATGCACACTGCAATATTTCAGTTTTCAAAACAAGAATGGACATCATGAGTTTGCTAGAATCCTCTCACACTGGCAAAGTAGAACATGATTCCAAACGAGTGAACTATTTTTTTTTCTGAACCAATCTTAGATGAATCTAGCATTTCTTTTCCTCCTAGATAAATCATAAAACCACACATGGTTGCTTGCTGCACTTCTCCTACCCTTACCTAGAAGGAAAAGCAACCTTTCTCCTAACAATCAACCGAATAAATACCTGTGCGCTTGTGTTGTCCAATTAAAAGACAAACCGCACAACTTTCCTGAATGGACTTCCATGAATGAATGCCGTCTACTTTTCGGGCGTGACAATGGCGTCTCTCCTACTTGAAATCGAAACCCCAGATCTTCAGAGAAACGTTTCCAGTGTGGCCTGGCCAGTTGCAATTCTTTATAGACCTAAAGTGGATCACGAGAAACTACTGTGCAAATGAGCAAATCCCAGACCCAGTCAATCCTAAAGCTACTCGAACTGTCACTCGTCAGCTGATTAACAAGTGCATTTCTTAACCACAATCCTCACTCAATGTCACAGAATTATCACCCAACCGCAAGCACTTCTACTAAATCCTTCCAATTCCAAGCAAACATGAATGAACAGATCAAAAACTGTTAAAACTGAAAACATGAAAAGAAGAAAGAACCTAAATGCATAAGCAATGAGGAAGAAATGGCAGTGTTGAGGAGGGGTATACTCACTGGGATCAGTGGTGGTGACCATGCCGACGCCCTGGAAGTAGCAGGAGCCAGCGGCCTTGCCCTGCGACTGGTAGTAGCTGTCGAATGCGAAGGAGGCGTGGCTCCGCACATCGTTGGGCTCGTAGCAGCCTTGCCCTGGCTGGATCGCCGTGCAGTCGGTGCGCCCGGGGCCGCACGCCCAGTCCATGGCCGCCTGCACCGCCTTCTCGTCGGCGTCGTCGGACGCGATGCAGAACGTCCGGTCCGTCGTGTCGTTGGCCAGGAAGCCGCCGGCGCCGGACACGTGGAGCAGGTACACCGGCGTGCCGTTGCCGTGGAAGAGTCCCCAGTTCGCCTCCGAGACCGGGCCCGGGCGGAGGTCCTCGTTGAAGAGCTCGTAGATGTAGACGCTGGCCTGCGCGCCGGGGCGCATCGGCGTGCCGGGCTTGTCGTTGACGTGCTTGATGAGGTTGGAGTTGTAGGCGTCGGCGTTGTCCCGCGTGGCGTACGGCTCCGCCCTGCGGTCCCCGTACGACGGCCACCCGGTCTCCGTGACCAGCACCGGCACCGGCCCGCCGCCGCCGGTCGCGTTGAGGTTCTTCACGGCGACGTGCACCGCGTCGAGCATCGCGTCGAACACGTTGGTGTAGTGGAGCAGCGTGTTGGGGTCGACCATCTCCAGCGACGGCGGGAGCGGCTTGAACAGCGCGTTGTCGAGCGGGATCACGCCGTTGCTCTGCATCATGGAGTAGTACGGGTAGAGGTTGAGCATGAGCGGCGCCGAGGTGTTGGCGAGGTGGGAGAGGAGCGGGAGAATGAACGACTTGGCCAGCGACTGGTTGAAGAAGGCCTGGGAGGGTGGGAACGGGTCGAGGACGACGGAGAAGGGGAGCGGTGTGGAGACCGGGATGGAGGAGAGGTTGGCGGCGGCGAGCGCGGCAGCGAGGGACTGGATGGCCGGGAGGAGCACGGGGAGCGCGGAGGGGAGCGCGGTGGGGACCTCGTCGCCGACGGCGATGGCGGCGATGAGCCCCGGGGTGCTGGAGTTGGCGCCGGCGTAGGGGAGCACGCGGCGGGCGACCCAGGCGGAGGCGGTGGCCGGGGAGGAGCCCAGCGCGAGGAGCTCGTCGTTGGGGACGCCGACGATGGCGCGGGCGCCCGACGACGCTAGCGCCGACAGCATGCGCGGGTCGGCGTCGTAGAGGCGCACGTGGGTGATGCGCTGCGCGCGGAGGAACTCGGGGAGGTCCGACGGCGACAGCAGGTTCGTCACCGCCGTCCCGATCGTCACGCCGACGTACGGGTCTCCGGAACCACCCCCTCCCGCCGCCGACACCGCCGCCCCTGCATCCGCAAAACAACAAACACCCCATCAGCATCCACAAAACAGAGCACACCCAAAAACAGAGCAAAAAAAAATTCCCAAAAACATCTCAAGTTCTCAACCACTCGGAGCAACCTAAAATGGCACAACAAATTAAACAACCCAAAAATCAACCAGAAGCCATGGAATCGGTCGCTACCAAGAACATGGTGGCGCATCAACAAACGAAGCATGTGCAGTGAACACAAGAGTAGTACAGTAGCTTACATGGTAGCAGAGAGGAATGGAGGGAGAGGAGGTGAAGCAGGAGGAGGAGGAGGAGGTGTCTCCCTCCTCTGCTCCTACTCCCCATTGGGAGTGGCGCTCTCTAGTCTCCTGCAATCTCCTGGTAAATTTTCTGGGGCAGCTGCTAGCTTTGGGACAGGATAGATTGCTGCTTTTGATGAGCTTCCTGGTAAGCTTTCCCTGGCAATTTCCTCGTCAGATTGTGTGATGGCTGAGGGAAGCTGGGACTGAAAGTTGGTGGTGTCTTTGGGTGGGGGGGGAGGGGGGGGGGGGAGGGGGGAAGGGAGGGCCATTTAACTATTTACCGTTTTTAGATTTGGCAATTAACTATTTATAACACCTATATTAATGACATGTGGATCTACATGTGTATATGTGGGTACACATGGGTCCAGTGGCAAATAGTTAATTGCCACATCTAAAAGTGGCATGTAGTTTAATATATCGGGGAAGTAAGGGTTGGGATTTGGGGATTTTGGAGTTTGGTGAATGATGGTGGTGACTGGACTTGCTGCTGATGGAATGAATCTAGAATGGGCTGTTTGCTTATTGATGATCTGTTCTCATGTGTGGGTGATTTGGCAAGTAGTGTGTAACATTGCGTAGAGCAAGTTTAATAGTATAGTCAACTACTAGCTCTAATTCATCTATAGCCAATCTAATAGCTCATTCATACAATAATTACATACTACATTATTAATACCTGGTCCCACCTGTCATACATACATTGCGTCTTGGAGTCCGTGCTACATGTGGCTACAAATCTATAGCCCGCTGCCCTTCTCTCTTCTCATTTATCTCCTTAAAATATGTTTGCAGCTGTCTTATAGCCTGCTATTTTACTTGCTCTTAGCTATGTTCCCACCTCCCAGCTGGGAAGGGACAAGGCAGTAGGAGGCTAGGAGCTGAGCCTGTGAGGGTGGGTCAAGAAAAGGAAATCTATTTTTGCAGCATGAACTGTTGTACAAAAATAAGTCTTAATAAACAGCTACAGTTTTAAAATCTAATATTGTTCATCTCTTGTACTTTTAAAATCATTCAAGTTTCAGTGCTCCTTTGGAACAAAGGATTTTTTTTTTTAAAAAGTAATTTTACAGGAATTCAATCTTACAGAAAATTTTCCTGTGGCCATTTGGATCAAAGAAATAGCTATTAAAAATTCCTATGAAACATTCCTTTGGATTGGCTCAAAACATAGTAATTTTAGAGGAATTCTAACATGAGCTTCAACCTCTTGGGAAAAAAAAACTCTCTTTTCTGATTCCTTCAGTTTTCCAATGTTTTTTTTAACCCATAGATTTGAGATGCTAGCACACTTCACTTCTATAATTTTCTTGTTCATGAGTTACAAAAGAGCCCTTAACACTAGCCTATTTTCTTCTTAGGCCGTATTTAGTTTCTCCCCTATTCCCAACTTTCCATCACATCATATCACAGCAAAAAATTTTCTACACACATAAACTTCCAACTTTTTTTTCAAACTCCTAACTTTCTTCAAACTTCCATTTTTTTCAGAAACTAAACACAAACTTAGATAACACCGGACAATGTGAATGTTACTCCCATCGATTCAGCAAATTCGGGTGGCAATAACCGACATGTAGTGCAAGAAAAGCAACAGTACAAAATTTGTATGCCTGGAACTTGCAAGTTGGAACTTGGAACACCGAGGGTCCAACACAAAGTACAAAAACACATTAAATTTGGCAAGCACAACCTCGAATTCAGATGCTTCATGTTATGTTTCCAACAACAAATAACATAATATGTAGTAGTTCCCATAGAGAAGACGTTAGATTTACTGAAGCTGTTGTGCTGTCATCACTGATACGAGTATGTTGCAGTCCCCTCTGCCGTTGCGCCAAACAATGTCGCACTGAAACTGAAACCTGCAATTGCATATACAGAACCTCAGGTTGCCATAAGCCCAATTTCACAGCATGTAAAATCATGTACTACTACTACCCAACAGCGGATTCATGCGCTGCGTTGCAAACTTGCAATGGCTCGTCTCCGTTCTCCAATAGTCCAATACTCCAATTCATACCCATACCATATGTGACGAAGATCCACAAATGATGCAGAGCAGTAGCAGACGCTAGGCACTGACTGTGCTGCTGCACTGCACACTTCGTCTGCCAACTTCTGAATTTCTGGACTGCTCATGGCTCCGACGCGGACTCCCGGCGAAAAAGGAAAGAAGCACCGGCGCGGCCGACGATCGAGGAGCAGCGGCAAGGCGGAACAACCTCCGCCGCCACCGCCGGCGGTCGACGGAAGCATCCGCATCGGCAATCCCAGCTCATCACCAACAGTTCTCCCATAATCTCCTTCCTAAAAGTTGTTTTCGGTTTCTTAAACTGAAAATAGGAAGTAGAAATATTAATCTCTCTAACATAATATGTAAATTTAATTCCCAAAAATTAAAATTAGGCCAATCTGTTAATCTACCAACAGATTTTTTTCGTTTATTCTGCTTTTTTTTTTTGGTTTTTCGTTTATTCGGCGCGCGTGATCGCGATTCCCCCTGGCGGTACCCAAGCAGCGCCGCTTCCTCTCGCCCCTCTCCCGGCCGCCAATCGCCCTCCCCGCGACAGCTGCGGCAAACAGCAAACATCACACAGCTGCAAAATTTCAGCAGCATCTCACAGCTGCAGCAGCTGTTGGGGCGACAGGCCGATTCAGGCTTAATCGAGGCGGCGGCCGGAATTGAGACGGCGCTCACGCTTGGAAAACCACTGACGGCGTCGTTGTCCTCTGCCTGGCACCGCCATAGCAATCAGATAGCATATGCGTCGCCCCCGGAAAGAAAGCTGACGCCAAATAAGCTTGGGGAAGTGATGACGGCATTCCAGGCTTTCCAGCCGCCTGCACGGAAGAGGACGCTGGCGGCGGAACTGAGGAACGACCCCGCGGCGAACGAGGGAGCGGAGATGATGAGCTGGATGGGAACATTTCGCCTCCTGCGCGCGAATGTGCTGGATTAGACGATTGGGAGCGACCGAAAATCCTGGAGTAGGGAACTCGTAGATCGGGATATGCGAGTAGGAAATATGTTGGATTGCGTTTTTAGCGAAAATCCCCTAAAACCTGAGATTGGGAACCATATAAACGTCTGCTGTTGGTGATGCTCTGCGCCGCCCCTCTCCTTGTAAGCTGTAGTAGTCCGACGCCTCGAGCTGAGCAGTCAGCTGTGGAATATTCCGGCGAAAACTTCACTTGGATGTCCGTTGATAATCGATCTAACGTCTCACGTGACATTGTTACTATGGCACATACCTGCGTGGGCCAAGGTGGGCCTGAGAATAATTCCGTGGGCTTAATAAAGACAGGACGAATTTAGTCGCTACCAATGGGAAAAGGAATAAGTTCACCAGAGGTTCCTCAACTTAACAACGAGATTATCTGAGTTCCCTTAACGTACCACTAAATTCACACAAACTGTACACTCAAGATCTTGTAGTAGTACGTGCGGGTGGTTTCGTTAACGTGGCATCCTAGTTAGCAAATAAAAATTTAAAAAAAGTACATGAGGCTCACATATCAGCTACCATCTCCTCTTTTCTTCCCAAACCGGCGTCAGCACAGACCTCCGCCGCTCCCTCGGTGCAGAGCACCGCGACCATCGGCTACCCGCAATGGAGCATCGGCTTTCGCGGGAGGCGAAGGCAGGAAAAGGAGGGAGAGGAGGCTAGCGAGTTTGGGAGGGAGGGGGAGGCGGCCAGGGAGCCCATCCGAGGGCGATGCAGGGCTCTCCGAGGGGTATGCATCGACGAGCTTGACGAGGTCGTGGCGAGGCAGGGCTCCCTGCGGTCGAGCTACAGCGAGCGCGTACCTGCGACTGGGATGGTCGTGCTCGGTGGTGGCGGCAACCCAGAAGGACGGGACCGGCGACCGCAGGGCTCTCCACGGTGATGGTGCCGCTTGCCAGGTCGCCCAGCCACCCGGTCATCACTGGCATCAGGTCCTCGTACTCCTCGCCGGAGATGCTTCTGGAGAGGGGAAGGGCGGCGGCCGGCCGCCTCGACTCATCTTATCCCGAGCAGCACAGACGGTGAGAGAGAGGAGACGAGGCGAAGGTGGCGGCCGGCGGTGCGAACCAGCCATCGTCCGTCTCGACCTCGCCGGCCGCCCAGTCCTCGTCCTCAGCTCCGCCGTGCTCGCCCATTCCCACGCCTCCCTTCTTCTCGCTCTTGTTTTCGATGTCGCGGGCCGCGCCGTCCTCGGTCTCAACCTACCCACGCCCCGCCTCGACCTCGTCGGTCGCGCTGTACTCCGCCTCCGCCTCATGCGCCCCGCTACCGCCGCCGCGCTCGCCCGCTCCTCCCGCAGCCCGCCACCCGTCGACCGCTGCCACGCTCGCTTGCCGCCAGCCTCCTAGGCCCGCCGACTCTCCACCCGCTGCCCGCATCCACGCTCGCCCATCGCCGCTCCGCCCGCCATCGGCCTCCCTCAGTGAAGAAGAGGAGAGAAGAGTGAAAAGAGAAGAAAAAAAAAAGATATGCAACTGACATGTGGGTCCTCACATACTTTTTTAAATTTTTTTACTAACTAGGATGTCACGTCAGCAAACCACCCATATATACTACCATAAGACCTTGAGTGCATGGATTGAGTTTAGGGGTACATATTTCCAGTAGCGTGCCCACATATAACTTACCGGTGTCACAGGACACTAGGTAAAATTGTTAAATTCTAACTAATTTATGCTATTTTGATTAATATACTAGTGAATAATTAGATAACTACTATGTAGTGGACCCCGGGTAATTTTTGTTCTAGGTTCGCTACTACACATTTCTGATTTTGTGGTTAAAGGACCTCAAAAAATCTCGTCGTTAAGTTGAGGGACCTCCAGCGAATTTATTCCTACTATTCCACTTGCTGGCCCATCGTGAATTCGTGATGGGGATTCTGCTTGGCATTGGCAATTTGTATACAGGCTGCAGCAGGTCAAGCAAACCAACAGCAATGCAAGCGACTGCAGCATTCGGCGTTGTATTAAGGAGGAAACAAAACAAATTAAGGACTATTTACACATTACATGCCTAGCAATACGTCAGTAACTGATCATATGCCAGTATGCCACACACAAAATTCTAAGGATCCGCAAACCCTTCGCACAAGCCACTCGCCTGGTACAGAACTTTCATCACAGATCTCATCGATCAGCTCTTCAGCCTGTGATCTGTAATCCTGCCACATGTGGACCTGCAGTGGATCAAAAGTATCAGATGAGCATTGTACACATAAAACACCAACGTTTTAGGGCAGAATTCATGTGTGGCAATGTCAGTACCAAAGAGACATTTCGGTAGGATACGGCTGCTAGCGGGGGGCTGGGGCTGTTATATGAACATAAACATGCTCAAGGTAAATGGCCCAACAACTTCTTATCATAATAAAGAAGATGTCAAAGTTTTGTCAGTATTTCAGCCCCTGTCCGAGTGACTAGTACAGTATGCTTAAACTGCGCAGCCCAGCTGCCATCGGCAGTGACAGTAGTCCATCCATCTTCCCATGTAACTGTCTCAGCCTTTTCCATTGTAAGAATAGGTTCTGCCAAAAAAAAACACATACCAAGATACCTGATTTTAATTTCAGGGTTATTACAAGAGAAGTGTTGGGATCCATGGCTTCCAATTTAAGATACAGTATCAAGAATTTGCAAATTATATATATATAATACCTTGCTACCAAAAAAAACAAGGGCTTTCTAGGAGTGCAAGCATAAGTACATCAATGACAAATACCTAAAGATGGAAACCCAAACATATAGCAAAACATAGTTGAAAACACTTACCAATTGTAAATGTCTGACCTTCAACCATTCGCCCAGAGTTGTCATTGGCTACAAAAGTGATAGTTCATTAGTCTAATGTAATGTGTGATTCTATCATCATGCATTAGTTTAGCATAATTGCTGGGGTATAATTAAAATAATACTTCAACATTATTCATCTTAAGATAAATACGAACTGTTAAACCAACAGCAGTATCAATCATAAGCAAACATACCTAATAACAAGTAAACAGTCCAGTCCTATGGAAACTAAACAGACTGTCCCTGTCCTCCTGGCTATAACTTACAATACAACCACTTTGGAATGGCAGACTTAGCTAGAACACAACTTCTTTCTTAATTTTACATATTTTTCAGTTTAAATAAAGTCAAGCGATCTACAACATCTTGTTGGTTTTCTAGTGCTTCAAAACGGTAATTTATGGGGAAAATGTAAACCATAATAGAAGAAATCATTAGCAGAGTTCGGTGATCATGTATAGGCTAAAGTTATGTTTGTAAGCAATTAGTTCTTACACACCTAACCAAAAGCATAGCAGAACAAAGAACTTGTTAGGATACCAGAACAGAAATCTATGTACTTAGTAATATTGTAAGGTAAATTCCTAAACTGTTACCCAAAAGTTTTGTTCAAAAAATAAGTTGGGTCACAAAAGCAGGGAAATATCAACGTACTCACCATGATGTAGGATTAGTGGCTCAGAATGCCAAATAGGTCCAATCCCATGTCCAACAAAACGATCCACCACATAATAGCCGTAAAAATAAGCAAGCTTGCTGAAATAATTATAAGAAAAATCAAAGATATGCACCATCATAAGCATTCTTTAGAAAAGCTCAGAAGAAGGGAATAATAGAAAAGCTGAATAGTTTTTCCGTCAAAGAGTATTAGTACTAGTTCAGGTTTAGTTGCTTGTTGTTTTTCGATCTATATGTTTGCCCTATGTCTTACAACAGGAAAAAAATATTTGCACGTTAGGAATGCATAAGTTCCACCAATTTTGTGGGAAACATCCACTCTTGCTGAATTTTTGAGATTTATGGGTTCCAAATGAAGCCTACAAATGTAAGCAACTTCCAATATATTGTCACCATTTGACCATTTGAAAGACAAATATACAAGAATGGAAATTTTCTATTGTTATCAAATTGAGAAATTTAACATGTAAGGTTTCTAGAAAACATAACATGACAATCAAACTACATTTCATGTGATCCTAAAAATTTTCCCCGTTGTATCTGGACTAGCAAGTAAATGCATCAGTTATCAAAACTTTCACAAAGAATTACCTAACAACTTTTGTACCATGGTAAACCCCACCCCCCCCCCCCAAAAAAAAACACACACACACACACACACGCAAGTACCTTATTTTCTTGCCAATCTTTTTGTAGTTGACACCATCCCTGCAGACTGTAATACCCTTCTCCAAGCATTCTTCAGCTGCCTGTTCCAATAAAGATCATTCATTAATGTTCTGATGTAAGAAATAATTGTTAATCAATAATAAAAAGAGATTAGTGTGATATGACCCAAATGCAAAACTCCTCACAGAACATTCTGCACCGAAATTAATAAATTTATGAGGTCAACAAACATTACAGAGGAAATCAGACACATCATGATGCACAAACCATAAATGCATAATGATCCTAAAATTTGTGTTAGTGCAAATCACTACAGAGCATACTGAATGAACCATCTGCCACATCAATAATAGCTTACCTTCAGAAAATGCCTGATAGAGTCATCCACTTCTCCACATACAAATGTTCTAGAAGCACCCCCATGGTATCCCTGAAGAGAAAGATGCAGATCTTATTACAAACTAGAAAATGGCATATAATAATCCAACTCTAAGCAAAATATACAAAGTTACCAACTAAACATAAACAAAACATCGAAAGGGAGAACTCACGTTCAGGAACACATTTACATCAACATTCATGATGTCTCCGGTCTGCAATAGAAGGACTTATCAGCCCACATTGCATAGGTACATACAGATAGAAAGAGGCAACTTTCACTTTATAGAACCTGCAGTTGTGTTGAGTCAGGTACTCCGTGACAGACACACTCATTTAGTGACGTGCAGATACTTTTAGGAAATCCACCATAGCCAAGTTGAGAAGGATAAGCACCGGCCTCAATTATCATGTTATGCACTTCCCTGTCAATTTCATTTGTAGTAACTGATGGCTGAGGCAACATGGAAACAATAGTCATATTATGAACTACATAATATGCAAAATAATATAGAAAAAGAGAGAAATTCAGTAATCTACCAAACAATAGTATTTACCTTAATCAATGTTCCAGCAAAGTCCAGAGCACGGGCAGCAAGTTTGCAAGCAGCTCTCATTCCAGCGATACCTTCAGCACTGTGTATTTGGCGCACACTAGATAGTTCTTGCGGTCTATTCGAACCTACATAAGATGGTCTCGGAATGTGTTCTGGCACCGGAAGTTGTGGAGAGATTTTCCCACGCCTCAAAGGTGGCCTTTTCTTTGAACTTGCGGAGCTTGGCTCTTGTGACCTTCAAATGTGTAATGGTGTTTGCAGAATTATTAATACCATTTCAGTCAAAACTGTCGAAAACATATTAGAAATCTAGAGCCTAGTTCCCATAGCAAGCAATGTAGCAATAAAAAGGAAGCAACGAGCTAAAAAACAAAGTGATAGTAACAAGAACTGTACTCTGTTATCTCCACTAACTCATCTTCAACCCAAGCAAGTTTATTAGACACGATAAAGCGTCGGCTCGGTGCGATTGATTTCCCTACAGCAAGACAACCAAGAAGAATCAGGTCAGGTGTGCTCAGTTGAACCCATTGGTCTTGACGAAAGGTACATAAACGTTATCCTCTTTGACAAGATGACTAGTGAACTTCGCAACCTTGTACGCGCACACATAACCAATTAACCATAATAAGAGAGTGCAAAGCTTTCCTATTGGAAGAATTGCAAGTGCAGTAGGAAAACAAACAAATAACTAAAAGAACGAATGCAACCTAAATGGTCTAGGTACACATTATAAAAAAAAATGCGCAGACCTCCACCCAGACGGCATGCAATGGTACAAACGAGCACATCGCAACCAGATTAACTAGAAATTGGCAGGTGTGAACATGTGGGATTATCCAAATAGCATACAGGGAGGAGAACGAAGAAGGGGAAGAGGTTGGGCGGGCACACCCTAGTATGCCCATCCATCCATCCGTACCGGAGCGGGAGGGGATGGGAGAGACGGCGGCAGGGCGGGCAGCGAGGAACCCGCCGGCGAGGAAGGCGGGTGGCGAGCGCGACGCCAGGCACGCGCCCGGCGCGGCCATGGAAGGGGTGGGAGGTCGAGGGCAACCTACCGAGAGAGCCAGAGCTTGGGTTTAAGCGAGACGAAGAGGAGAGCGGCGGTGGAAGGGATAAGCCCCGCACATGTGATAGGAGAATATAGATTTTTTTTTATTTTTAATTTTTTTTATTAAAAGTTTTACAAAAATAATTTTCCATTTTGAAAATTGACGGAAGTAGACGCCTACCGCCCTCTGGGAGGGCGATTTTTAAAAATCGCCATCCCAGAGGGCGGCGAAAATGACGTGGCAGACGGCCGTTCGCTCTCGGGCGACGGCCGTCAACGAAATTTGCAGGCGGCCCCCTTGCCGCCCTCCGCTGATTTTGTACTGTGCGGGGGGCCGCCTGCAAATGGGCGGCGAGGGGGCATGGAATTTTGCAGGCGGCCCCCTTGCCGCCCTGGGGGAGGGCGATTTTTGCCTCCCCCCTATAAAGCCCAGTCCCCCCTCTCTGAAATTTCATTATATCCACTAAAAATCCAAAAAAAACGAAAGAGAGAGAGAGGGGAGGGCAGCAGAAGGGGAGCGGCGAAGCCCTGCTGGTTCGCTCACTTCATCACAGGTTTGCTCCCATACATCTTTTGCATTTGTACTAATATGTTATGTTTGAGTATATATGTTGCGTTTTAGTTTTAGTTCCATATATTTTAGCATATCTGTAGCACACAGCAGATATGTGTAGATCCAGAGCATAGAATATAATAGTATGAATTGAGACATAGACAGTAGTGTTAATTGTAAGATGTAGTTTAGTTTGATCTGGAGAATGTAACCTACTTTTAGAATTTTGGAGAACAATATTGTAGAGAATGTAACTTAGGGCGTAGTACAGAAATGCGAGGTTAACGCAGTTATTGTTTTCATCAGGCACAATGTCAAATAAGGTCACATTTCAGATAGTTCACGGTGAAGGAAATATTAGATTTGGTCCAGATGGTGTTGATCTGTCAGATTTTGTAATGACATCTAAGGGCATCGATAGGCCTGCGGAGAGAACATTTCAGTCAATTTATAGTTGGTTGTTGAGAGGATTTAGAATAGACCAAGAAGTCTACACAATGTCAGTATCAGTTGTAGTGAGTCGTGCAACAGAAGGTTATTTTTGGGAACTAATGCCGATGGACAGCACTGCTGCTTGGAGACGGTATGTGGAAATGGCTTTTGAACGGTCATGGCCCCTCGTTATATTTGTGTCGGTACAAGAGAAAGATATAAATGTTTCAATGCAAACCGAAGATGTAGAGGGTCCTATCAATGCAGGGGATGTTGTTGGACCATCGATGCAAAATGAGGAAAATCAACCAAGGGAGGAGCAGGCCATGGGCATGGCGGATGAGGGGGAGAGAGTTGGTATAATTGTTGATGAAATAGAGAGGGAAGATTCGGATAATGAGGAAGCGGACGACGACGCATCATCCGATGAGGAAGGTGATGTAATGGCCACTGATTGGGCAAATGAGGACTTCTCTGGACTTGTTATATCAGAGGGTGATCATGTACCCTGGGAGTATAAGGAGAACGAGGTAATTGACGGTGCAAGGTATGCTCATAAGGATGAGATGAAGGAGGCGGTGAAGCATTGGGCAGTTTCCTTGCAGAGAGAGTTTAGGGTGGTCAAGTCAACAAATTATGTGTATGAAGTGAGGTGCATGAAGGAAGATTGTCCGTGGCGTGTCCATGCATATAAGGGTAAATGGAATGATTATTGGAAAGTTAGCATTGTGACCGAGCACAAGTGCTACTTACAAGGGGTGGAGAAGTATCACCGAAACATCACTTCAGCTTTTGTGGCAAGTGAGATGTACAGCAGTGTTGTTGGTACCATTGGCTTTGAACCAAAATCAATTATTAGGCACATCGAGAACAAATTCAAGTACACCATAAGCTATGCAAAGGCCTGGAGAGCCAAACAAAAAATTATTGAGATGAGGTATGGCACATTTGAAGCTTCTTATGATAATTTGCCTCGTTTGTTAGCCACCATTGCCCAGAGGAATAATAATACTTACTATGACCTACATACATTTACATCGGTTGATGATCGAACAAAGAGTGTGCTGCAAAGAGCCTTTTTCTCATTGGGTGCTTGCATCAATGCTTTTGTGCATTGTCGACCTGTTCTATGCATAGATGGAACTTTTATGACAGATAAATACCGAGGTCAGATATTGACAGCAATTGGGTGTGATGGGAACAACCAGGTTCTACCTATGACTTTTGCATTTGTAGAGAGTGAGAACACTGAAAGCTGGTACTGGTTCCTAGAGAGAGTGCACATTGCAGTGGTGCGTATGAGGCCCAACGTTTGCCTTATACATGATCGTCATGCGGGTATGTTGCGGGCTATTGACTACTTGCAGAACGGTTAGGATGAGAAGGGACTTCCAGCTAAGTGGCCTGATGTTCGGAGTCGGTGGTGCATGCGTCACATGGGTGCAAATTTCTACAAGCAATTCAAGAACAAGCATCTTATGGAGCTCTTTAAGAGGCTCTGTGCACAGAACCAAGAGAAGAAATTTAATGAGTTGTTGGACAAGTTGGATGAGTTGACAACGAAGCAAACGGATGAGCAATCTCGCATACCACAAGTTGAAGGTGACGAGCCTCCCATACCTCTTGGTGCATTACATGATGACCCACCAACAATGAGAAGGAGGTCAGGGTCGTCCATCAGAAATTTCACTCAGTGAATTGAGAATGAGCCTAAGGAGAAGTGGTCTCTATTGTTCGACACCGATGGATCTCGGTATGGCATAATGACAACCAATTTGGCAGAGGTGTACAACTGGGTAATGCGAGGAGTTCGGGTACTTCCATTGGTTGCTATTGTTGAATTCATCCTTCACGGCACGCAAGCGTACTTTAGGGATCGATACAAGAAAATTGGTCCGTCCATGGCCGATAACAACATAGTGTTTGGCAACGTAGTGACAAAGTACATGGAAGATAAAATCAAAAAGGCACGGAGACATAGAGTTGTTGCTCAAGGCACACAAGTGCATCGGTATGAAATAATGTGTGTTGATAGGAGCAGGCGTGGTATCTATCGCAAGCAAGCCGTGCAGGAATGTGTCTTGAAGGCGGATGGTGGATGTACCTGCAGTTGTATGAAGCCGAAGCTTCATCACCTTCCTTGCTCACACGTTCTTGCTGCTGCCGGTGATTGTGGCATATCTCCCAATGTGTACGTCTCAAATTATTTCAGGAAAGAAGCAATCTTTCATACATGGAGTGAGGAGATATATGGGTTCGGGATCTCAGGATCTTACACAACGCTGAGTGCCCAAGTTTTTTATATTCCAGATCCATCTAAGTTAAGGGTGAAAAAGGGTCGACGTCAAACTAGACGCATCAGAAATGATATGGATGAGTCAGAAGCAGGTGGGAGGACTTTACGCTGCAGCAAGTGTGATTTGCGCGGCCATACTTACAAGAAATGCCCGAAGAATGCAGAAGTTCCAAGCGGCGTAGATGCTAGTCCATCTGGACAGGCAAGTGATGGTAGGCGACCACCTGGTGAAGGAACAACAAGCAGGCGCGCAAGGCCAAGGCGTCGTCGCGCAGCAGGCGATTCCATGGTGTAACAATGCTATCGATTTAGGAAATAAAATGCTGTTGTGATGTGATGAGTGTTCGGACTAAATACTTCTATCATGTAATTTCAATTGAATGTTGTTGTAATGAGTACCTCCGACTATTGTTGTACTAGTAGTATTGCGAACTATTCGGTGTTGTATCATAATGTTATCGTGATGAGTGTTCGGACTAAGTACTCATATCGTGTAACTGCAGTTATTGTTGTAATCATAAATATTCCGTATGGTGACACTTTTGTTTGTTTGTACTCTTGTTTAATATGTGTTAGTAATTCGCTTATGAACATTTATTACTTATGTTGAACTAATTATTTATATGTTTCTGATCAATCTATTTGATGCAGGTATGGCGTACGACACACCGGCGCTGTTGAACCGTGGGATTGACAGGAACCACCGCTCGTTCCTGTCAGCAGTCGAGGGTGCACAGCTCGGCACCTTCCGTCCACGCATGTCGCGCGAGTGGTTGCGTGTCGACCCCCGTCACGTTCCTTGGTACGCGTATGTTCACATTTCAACTCAACTTTGCTTTGTGTTGTACTTATGTTTGAAGTTTGCTCTATACAGGTTGCGTGCGGCAGGCCTTCTACCACTTTGTAGGCTTGTTGAGGCGGCGGCGGACGACCGTGACCCAGCGAAGCGGTGGGATGCAGACCGGTCACTCCTTGCCGCTCTGGTAGACCGCTGGAGACCTGAGACGCACACGTTCCACCTTCCCTGTGGGGAGATGGCTCTGACACTGCAGGACGTGTCGTACCTGCTCGGGCTACCGCTGGCGGGAGCACCAGTTGGTCCCGTGGACGGTGTTTTTGGGTGGAAGGAGGATATCACTGCGCGCTTCGAGCAGGTGATGCGCCTTCCACACTTAGGACTGGCCAACACCCTTCCTCCGTACTCTACAGTCGGGCCTAGCAAGGCTTGGTTGCTCCAGTTCACTGTAAGTAAATAAGTTGTTATTATCATACATGCTTATTTGCGATCAACAGAGTGTTTTGTACTAACATTTCATTCTTAATTGTAGACGGACCTTCTGCATCCTGACGCTGATGATAACTCGGTCCGACGCTCCCTTGAGGCGTACCTGTTGTGGTTGTTCGGGTGGGTGATGTTCACTAGCACCCACGGGCACGCTGTGGACTTCCGGCTGGTCCACTACGCACGGTCCATCGCGGATGCTCAGCCACAGGACGTGCCGCAGTGGAGCTGGGGTTCTGCCGTGCTAGCAGCCACGTACCGTGCCCTCTGTGAGGCGTGCATGAAGACTGACGCGGGAGCTATCATCGCTGGCTGCCCTATGTTGCTTCAGCTTTGGGCAGCCGAGAGGTTTGCCATAGGTCGACCAGTGGTGGACAGCGCACCCTACGGGGTTGGTCGCAGCGCGCAGTGGCAAGAGGACGGTCCCACGATGGGGACTTACTGGTGTCGACGTGGGGTTAGTGCAACTTCGCTGCGTTATAAGTTTATCAGTCGTCTTCTTTTTTTT